TCAAAGATTTGGGCCCTCTTCTCCAAGCCCAATAGCCCCCCCTCCACAACCCACACCTCACTATCATCCCCCAACCCAGTGAATGACTACTCGTAGTCAACATGGCATCTTCAAGCCAAATCGAAAATACCCCCATGCCTTAAGTGCCAAAACTCCAAAAATCTCTCATATTCCTCGTAACCCGATGAGTGCACTTAATGACCCGAATTGGAAATCTGCTATGTTAGATGAATATACTGCTCTAATTAAAAATAAGACGTGGGATTTAGTTCCTCGTCCATCTCATGTGAATATAATTCGGTCAATGTGGATTTTTCGTCATAAAAAGAACTATGATAGTTCTTTTGAGCGGCATAAAGCCCGTCTTGTAGGTGATGACAGGTCGCAATGAGAAGGGATTGACTGTGAGGAGACATTTAGCTCGGTTGTAAAATCGGCGACTATTCGGACTGTTCTTAGTATTACATTGTCCAAATCTTGGCCCATTCATCAGCTAGATGTCAAGAACGCATTTTGCACGGGAACTTGAATGAGACTGTTTACATGCACCAGCCTATGTGGTTTAAAGACCCCACTCGTCCTGATCATGTTTGTCTGTTACGTAAATCTTTTATGGTCTTAAGCAAGCTCCCCGCGCCTCGTATCAACAGTTTGCTAATTTTGTTGCCACAATTGGTTTTACTCACAGCAAATCAGATCACTCACTTTTCATATATTGTCGTGGGATTGACATTGCATATATTTTATTGTATGTTGATGACATTATACTCACAACTTCTTCCGATGCTCTTCGATGTTCTATTATCTCTCTTCTCAGTGCAGAATTTGCTATGAAAGATCTGGGTCAGTTGAGTTATTTTCTAGGTATTACTGTCACTCGTACCAACAATGGTCTTTTTCTCTCTCAACAAAAATATGCCGAAGAGATATTAGAGAGGGCAGGAATGACTGCTTGCAAACCTTGCCCCACACCTGTCGACACTAAGGGGAAGCTAAGTGCAAAATCGGGTGACCCATATGATGATCCAAAGAAATATCGTCGATTGGCTGGTGCCCTGCAATATCTTACCTTCACAAGGCCAGATATTTCTTATGCAGTCCAACAGGTCTGCCTATTTATGCATGCTCTGAAAATTGAACACATGGAGTCTTTGAAACGCATTCTTCGTTATGTACAAGGTACAACTGATTATGGTATGCACTTGTATACGTCTTCGATACACTCTGTCTTGTCATATACAGATGCAGATTGAGGTGGATGTCCTGATACTAGACGGTCCACCTCGGGTTATTGTGTGTTTCTCGAAGATAATCTCATTTCTTGGTCTTCTAAGCGACAACCTACAATATCCAAGTCTAGTGCCGAAGCTGAATATAGGGGTGTCGCTAACGTTGTATCTGAGTCTTGTTGGATTAGGAATCTTCTTCTTGAACTTCATTGTCCTATCCAAAAGGCAACTTTGGTCTACTGTGATAATGTTAGTGCGATATATTTATCTGGGAATCCAGTTCAACATCAACGCACTAAACATATTGAAATGGACATACACTTTGTTCGTGAAAAAGTACAAAAGGAAGAGGTGTGTGTCCTTCATGTCCCGTCTCGTTAGCAAATCGCAGATATTTTTACAAAAGGGCTTCCGCGCGTATTATTTGATGATTTTCGGGACAGTCTCAACGTCCGACAACCTCCCACTAAGACTGCGGGGGTGTGATAGAATATAAATCTATTCAAGTTAATTTCCACAATTATCTTTTAGATTGATTGATCATATATCTCTTGTATAGTTGGCTCTCCTAATTTGTAGTGATTGATATCTTGTAATTGTAATTATCCTAGCCTAGAATTACGTTAGTCATGATTGTATATTAGGAACACTGATTCAAGGCAATGGAAAAGGGGAAAAAGAATTCATTTTACTTTCACTAACTTATCCATTTAGAGCAAAAAAAAAAACTATCTTAGGTGAAATTGAGTAGCAATAATACTAACCAAGGTTTCCTCTTCTTTCACTGTGTATTTTTAATGCTGATTGAACAATGATGACGACGATGACGATGACGATGTCAATAGTGATGGCGAAGAGATGTCGATAAGCCGATGGCGATGGTGATGGCGAGGGGTCGATGAAGAAACTTCTACTGGTCCTATGGGGACATGCGTAGTCCATTGTGAACCTCTTAATCAAACCTCAACATTGTGTAAAGCTTCTCATCACTCTCGTACAAACCCAAAACTTAAAGGCGAATCATGTTAGATTCCTATTCAAATACGTTTAAGTTATAATTTAATTGAAAAAAATTAATATCAATCCTGAAACTTAGGGTTGATTCTAAACATTCTAGATGGACATGAGATCTCTAATACCGTTTTTAAAATTTTAAACCTCATCAGTTAGTAATTTTTATTTTATAAACAGTAATTTTTGGTACAATATGAATTCATAACGTTCGACCATCATACATAAAATAATTTTTTGAATTGTACCACTTATCTTTCTTTATTTATTTATATTTATACTATCTTTTGGTAAAGTTTATTAACTTTTAGGTTGCACCCACATAAAAATAAAACTTACCAATTTTCGAAGTTTTTTTAATTTTTTGATCTGATACTATAAAGTGAAAAATTGATACCATGGTGTTTCCCTATATTTTTTTGGTATAATAAAAATTTTCCACTATGTTGAAGAACATGTTTCTTAAATAATTACATTTAGACAGTGACACACAACTTCCCATTAATTGAAGGGGGAATGTCACCTAGTACCCAAAAGAATTAAGTTTTTTTTATTTTGTACTTTCAAATATGATATTTCTTATATTACACTCTCAATTTATTAAAAATATTATAATGTGACACTTTCGTTATTTATTATGTTAAAACCTATCACATTAACGAGAACCAACAGAGGGGTCACATTCAAACATTTTGAATACATCGAGGATCTAATATAAGAAATCTAATTTTTTAAGATATAAAATAAAAAAATTTAATTTTTTTAAAATACAAAGTACAATTTTACCGCTATCAATATTCGACACGACAAGTTAACACAACACTAACCAAACACAAAATTAAACGATTTAATGGGTTAAAAAAGGTCATCGCGCTTAAACACGAAAAAAATCAAATCGAGTTCATGTCAAAATTAAGTCAATTTGATTTTGACCTGATTAACCCATATAATTTAAACGAGTTGACATGATTCAAACATGAACCCGACCTAACCTATTATAGACCCGTTTAACTCGTTTATGACAATATAGTTTGCCTATTATATATGACTGATGTGGTCTTAATATTATTATTAATTACTTTTTGCTTTTACTATGATAACTGATAGTATAATTTTTAACACTATTATGACAGTATAATAGGATAGTTTTTGTTTTAATTTTTGAGTTGAAACTTGAATGCATTTTAATTAATTTCATTGATGAAATGATAAATGTTATTTTAAAAAAAATTATTTGAAATTTTAGATAAATAATTAAATAATGTATTTAATGGTAATGAATTAGTGTGGAAATAAGTTATGTGTGTTAAACATGTCTGTGCTATTTGTACTAAACAAGTTAAACAGATCATATTATGTATATTAATTTAAAAATGACTTGTTTATTATACGTGTCAAACAAATCAGATTCGGGTAACCTGTTTAATAGTCATGTCAAGTATTTAGATATCTCGACACAATTATTAAACATGTCAAATTTGAGTTTTGAGAATTTTTAACACAAATTCAAAATTAATTCGACACAAAATGACTCAATTCAACACGTTTGACACACCTACGATTGACCATTAATTTAAGAAGGTGCAAGCCCATCACCTTCAATGTTGTGGTGGTACATTTTGTTTGTCCCACGTAGGAAATAGCATTAATTAAATCGGTTCCATGTGGTATGAACTATGAATACCACATAGTTCACAAACTAATCCAGGCAAAACATGTGGTATGAACTATTTTTTTTTCAATGGTCAATAAAATTTTGGTTAGTTTATATATATTTTGATTAATTTTTTTTTCTGATTCGGTCAACAGATCATCAACGTCGAAACTAAAATATTCATAAAGAATAAATTTATCATGATTTAAATTTAAGAAGTTGAAAAATACACAAACTTTATTCAACAAATGTTATCTGGGTCCATAAGAGATGCCCAAAATTGGGAAGCAAAATAGGGGAGGCAAAAACTTGGAGGAGATAGGGTGAGAGAAAAAAGAAAGAAGAGAGATGCAGACATTTTTTTAAACTCTAGAGGAAGACTAATGTATCCAAATCAGTACCAAAAATTCTAATTTTTTAAAGTTAAATTATAATTTTTTTGAGGTAAATGCTAAAATTGAACATCGATCATAAAAATTATAATTTTTGAAGGTAAAGTCACAACTTTTAAATGTCAAATTATACTTTTTAAAGGAAAAGTTATAACTAAATTGGATATTTATAATTGATCATGGGTTTACAAAATATAAACAATTTCCTAAATTGAAATAAAAAACAAAAAATAGTTATTTGTACTTATTTGTCAACCTTATTTATTAATTTAATGCATCGTAACTATTTAATTGATAGAAATCCCCAAGTAATAGTGCTAGCTAATCCAATAACACAAGTGATTAGATAGCAAATTTAGTGAAGGCCTAAAAAAAATAATGCTCAAGTGATGGTAAGATGAATGATAAATTTAAACGTTGTAAATTTGAATTTTGACAGTAACTCGGGGTTAGGAGAGATTTATCTCTCATGATTCTCTAGTTACGGTGTGAATAATTTACCTTTGACATTATCAGAAAAGAAATTAGTCGAAATGTGCGTAAACTGGTTTGGACAACTTTGATCATGAACCTTAAAATAAATAAAAAAACAATGCTAGTTGGAGAACCCACGACGTCGTTTACCAGTTTAGGACCATGTTGCCACTTGGTTGCAAGGTTGATCTCCCATCTGTTGCAATAAAAGAGAGACACAAGCCAGCCAACAACAGTTCTTCTCTCTTCGGACTCTCGGAGCTCGTAGCTAAGGCTGGCCAAAGGGGAGAGAGGGAGAGACACACACACACACACACACGCAGAGGGTCCAGACAGTCTTCTCACTTACTCTCATCTCTCAGACCGGTATCCTCGGAAAACAACATGAACAATCCATCGGTAACCATCATTCTCAAACTTTTATAATCTGCTTTTTCGATTAACAATTTCTCGTAATCTCCTGATTTGAGGTGCTGATTATACATGACAGTCGTGCAAATTAATCGATTGTTCTTGCACTCGCACTCAGTACTGGAACACGATTCCTCAGATGTAGGTTTTGGGGTTTACTAAGACATCTTTTGTTGTTGGGGTTTGTTTTTGGCGTTATTATTCCACTCATATCAATAGCCTTATACAGGGTGTATGTTTTTTTTTTTGGAGAGAGATTTTCAATGGTTTTTTGTATAATTTAATTGCCAAATTATTTGAGTGATAAATCTGGTGTGAATTTGCAGAGGCTGAAATTCATAGAGAGCATTGTACAAAAAAAATGAGTCTGTTTATGTGTTGGGACATTTTTTGGAACACTATATGACGGAGAAGATTTCTGTGTTGAAATTGGTGGTATGGGGTTAATGTCTATTAGGGTCACTGTTTCATTCATGTAGCTGGGCAGAAGATCTCAAGTAGTGGGTATGGGATGTTTTTAATCAAATTGGCTTGATCTATGATACACTGTCTCTAAGTATACTGAACAGGATAGTTCTTTGCAGAATGCTCAGCCTGATCTCATTGACTGAGCTTGCTCAGGGTCATTTGCCAAATTCGATGCACGTTGAGCTTTTGTGCTTGGTTGCACTGCACATCAAACTTGTAAATATTAGATTTGGCTTAGTTAGGTTTGTCTTGTCAACAACTGATGAAGTTGCACCACTTATGACGAAAATTCAACTCATAGAATTGCCATTATGCCGATATGACATGAAGTGAGTAGTGAGAAGGAGAAAGGATATTTTTTAAAATGAGCTTAACAGAAGGAGAATAGTGGATCCCTTGTATGGGTATGGTACAAAAATAATTTGCTGATGGCATTTTAGGAAAAAATGTGCAGGAGATGACAAGTGTACCACCACTTTTAAGTTAACGTCTTTAGACTATTCTCCAGACCAGTTAAATGGGAAAAATTGTTCCCAAAAATTGCCCCTCAAATCAATCGTGTGTAACAAAACAAAACTCTTCTTATCATCTTTGTTTTGGTTGACTTGACGTAAAATGGGATGCTAGAGGTTTTTTTTTTATTTATCTTTTTATGTTGATATGATGACATTTTTGTGAAAAGCATCATGTTGTGCGTCCTATCGATTTTATTGTTCAAGTTGAGCTGTTTAATTTCATTCAACAATCATAATGAGGTTATTTTTCATGTTTTTAACCCATAACAAGTTTTCTGTCCTAATTTGAAGAATCATGCATGTATGAACCTGGCAGTTAATCCTTGATGTCAGACAAGCTTGCCATTTTGTGTTTTTGTTGAATTTGTATGCATTTATCCATACATAACAGTTGCCAAATGCAATGCTAAAATCAAGCTGTATTCTGCCAAGGAACAACCAAGATGATGCAATGCTATGGTAAGTTGAAGTAAAAATCACATGTAAACAGTAATTCATTTGTTGATCTTGATCAATTATTTTTTCTTTTTCTATGGTTCCTTTCTATGTTTCTTTATAGGGCCATTCTAGGCAATAGCCTCACAAATAGACCTATCAATGGATCAAATTTTGTTGTATCTTCATCCAAATAAGATTAGAGTTGGCCAAGCTGATCCGATCTGATTATCCTGATGGATTTTATTTCAATCTTTTCTGAATTTGTTAATCTCCAGATAGTCAATTCAATAATATGATTTGATACAATAATCATACCCATTAAGTCTAACTTTGATTAATCTTGCTTCAATTGAAGCAAATTCAAAACAATCCACGAGTTTAACATGACGTATACCTGCTCTATCCCGAGCAATCCATAACAAGCCTAATTGAACCTTCTCATTTTCTTCAACTAATGGTCAAGATTCAAACTTGATAGCTACGATTTTTGGTTCTGGATCTTCCAAGTTGTTTACGATTTAAGAAACATCTAAACAATATCCAAAATGCTAATTGAGTCCACATGTGTCGGAAAGTCAAATTTCAACCACCCAGGTGCGGACACACAGAAATAGAAAAGAAAATACAGCTAAAAGTATTTGCAATAAAAATTAGAAGAATTTGGTATATTGCAAAAGACAGGCAACAGGCTGTAAAAGACCCAAGAGATTGGTTGCATGCGACCCAAACTCTCTTAAGATTAGATATATAGATAAATTGAGTAGAGAGAGGAACTTAATGAGATTAGGGAGGACGGGCCTAGGAAACCGAGAATGACGGAGCCAAAGATTGTCGACCATGGTGGATTGGGGGCTGAGAGGGAGGGAAGTGGAAATTGAAGGGGAGGGGAGGAGAAACCAAGGCTGAAACTGAGAAGTGATGAGAGAAGAGTCTCGAACAAAGCTCAAGAATTGAAACATATATAACATATGCAGTCCTACTTCTTTCAATTATATACCTCATAGTGCTAACCCACCTGTGACTACTGTAATGTGGCCTTTATATTTTCATTTTAATACTCTTATCACTTTCCTTTCAGGTTTGACGTGATGGGAAGACCCTCGAGATGATGGTCAATACTACACATCTGCAAATACAGATGTTCATTCTATAATAATTCATACTTAGATATCACAATGTGGAACTTTGCATCCAAATGCATTGCTGGAAGCATTAGGCTGAAGAATAACTTTCTAAAGCCGACTAAGGATGCTTTAGATTGTTCAGATGATGAAATGTCCTCCACCACCAGCAGAGAAGAGGGACTTGAGTGCCCAATATGCTGGGAATTCTTTAACATTGTCGAAAATGTGCCCTATGTTTTATGGTGCGGCCATACTCTTTGTAAGAATTGCGTCCTAGGACTGCAGTGGGCTGTTGTGAAATTTCCAACTTTACCAATCCAGCTTCCACTCTTCATCTCCTGCCCATGGTGCAATCTCTTGTCTCTCCGCCTGGTTTATAAGGGAAATCTCAAGTTTCCTCGCAAGAACTTTTTTCTTCTCTGGATGCTTGAGAGCATGAATGGTGATAGGGTAAAGTCACATTCTGCTTTATGCGGAGATCATCAGCCAGTGTGGCCATCAACTGCCAAAATAGCACCACATGTAAGCCACTCTAACCTTGGGAGGGGGCAGCACACTCACCATTTGGAGTCTTCTGGGTCAACCCGTGATCATAATCGTGTTGGTAATTATCTCACTGTGGAGCGACTGCATTCCTCCCTTAGGAATGCACTGGTTTTCTTTGTTCAACTGACTGCCAAGTTCCCATTGGTTCTCATATTTCTTCTGATCATTTTGTATGCAATACCTGCCAGTGCAGCTGTCCTGGCCTTGTACATACTCATCACCGTTCTGTTTGCTCTCCCTTCATTTCTCATTCTGTACTTTGCATATCCTAGCTTGGACTGGCTGGTGAGAGAAATCATCACTTGAGATGATGTTCTTCTCGCTGTTTTGAAAGCTCTTTGAACACCAGTTTATCTCATAAACTGGTGCTTGTCCATCTGAATCCCATCAGTTGTCAAAAATATATCGGCTCTACTATCTTAAACCACGCCATATGATGCACTCCTTTTGTGATTGTGAAACCTAGTAGCCTTTTGAGCCTCTCTATGTTGAGAACTGTTTTAGCTTTCCCATGGTATATACTTTTCTGGGTGGTAGTGATGCCAGTTCGTTTGTTATTTTGGTTTTGGCAACCATTGGCCGAGAAGTAAAACTTTCCCTTTGCCAACAAGTGGTTATTTTCTGTTTATGTGGCTTCTGAATGTTGTTTCACGAGTACTTTATTAGGGCTTGATTAAGAGATTCTTAATGTTCTTTGTATACAGCTCTATTCCTTATCTAGTGTCAATGCATAATTGTTAAGAGGTTCTCTTTCTCTGCCTTGGCGATTTTGGTTGAAATCAATCAAAACTCCTATTTTGTTTGATGGATTGTTATTTGTGATCAGCAGAAAGGGCTAGCAACTTGGCATCATTCAGAAATTTTTACTTGTGCTCTTCGGCTTTGGATTGAAGTGGAAGTCGTTCATGTGCAAGTGTAACTTTGATTTGCCACCCCTTTCATTTTCATGCGTTTCCTTTTTATCAGAATGTACCATTTACAGTGTGCGTGTAAACTAGTTCAAATGATAAATTGGTTGAAAGTGCTAACACCAACCCCAACCCCCCCCCAAAAAAAAATAAAATTTGAAGATTTATCTCCACTCGATGTCCCTATCGTTTCAATCCTCAATGCCGAATACAATAACTGACGAGCACAAAAAGTTTCCTTAATCAAGAGGGTCTGCCATCAAAGCTTCAAGTATTATTGAGAAGGCTACAAGTTGGTTACTTATCTTCTTGTTAATCTTATATCGCATGCCAACGATGGCTACAATACTGTTGATCACCGGCTTATTCTCTTTTGTGGAAGTTTTACCTCGAGTTACTCGATGACCAAGGTATGTCAATGATTCTTGACAAAGGAAGATTCAAGAGAGAATTCCTCTTGTTCGTTTAAAGTTGAACTTTATAAAAAAATATTTGGCAGGTATAAATGTCATTAAAAAATGTTAAGAAAATTAATTTTACTAACTCGCATAAATTCTGCTTACCCAAACCTAACCTATTCGAATAGGAGACTAGCCCCTCATGCCTGGCAAATTCTTATATTACCTGCTCCTATTGAATCGAATTCTCAGATTTTGAAGCCATCATCTTCCCCTGAAACTTCAGGCTTAAATGGCAGGAAAAAACAGTGACACCAAGACTGCCAGAAAGACAGCAACATCCAAAGCATCTGTAAAGAGAGTACTTGCAACCCCGATAGGTTCATCATCTCCCAGAGCCATTATCGTTACTGTTGTAAGCTCAAATGCGACAAAACATAAGCCTGAAACAGATCTCCTCTGTAGGCTCAGAACAGTACTACAAAATTCCAAACCCAAGAATCCAACAACGACAAGGTCCAGGAGATTACCTTGCATGGCATCGAGGGAGAAAGTGAGAATAAGCGTTTGGGATTCGTTCAGGATGGTGGTATCATCGCATTGTCTCCATCTCTGTCATTTCCATTACCTGAGCCTTCATCACACCTAAACTCACAGTCATTGTTATCTCCTGACAAAGAAGATCGAAAGGAGTCTGTATACTCTGATAGTGAACCCGGTGACTTCATCTCTGAAAACTGGGATACTGTTGACATCAATGAAGTAGAAATTCAAGAAGGACATCGCAAGAAGACTCTGCAAGAGAGTGGAGTAGCTCTTTATGAAGATAGAGATTGCAAACAGATGAAGTTTCAGGAGGGGAATGACTGTAGACGTTCAGCCTGAAAATAATGGTCCTATGAGGCTCAGATTTAGACGGGGAAGACTGTTGGAAAGTGAAGATGACAAGGGAGATACAAGGAGAAGAAAATTTAAGAAGAGAGGTGTTGACGATGAGACAAATGGTACCAAATCTAGTTCTGGAGAAGTTGCTTTGCGCCATCAGGATGTACAGGGGAGGAAAGATGCTCTAGGTCTGTTCAATAATGTGATTGAAGAAACAGCAAGTAAGCTTGTTGAGAGCAGGAAAAGTAAGTTTAAGGCCTTGGTGGGTTCTTTCAAGACAGTGATTAGAGAGTAAACCTTCCAGTCAAACAGTCACTTGAGTAGGAAACGAAGTATAGTGCCCCCATGTGTGTCGATTTTTTTAAAGAAATTGTAGAAAAATAACCTAAGCTTGTTATAGGAGGACAATGTTGTGAAATAGCAAAGTGTACGAGTGGATTGCTTCAGTTGGTGTTACAAAGCTTGAACGACTGAATTGATTCAGGGACTCATCTGCTGATCCTGATATGCCATATACACATTTCTGAACTAATGCGACTGATTTGGATCATGACGAAGCTATTGTATGGGTGACTTTATCCACATCAAGGAGTGGGAAGAAGAGAAGGGGTGGTGTTGAGAGGCAATGTTCCCTGGCGGATATGGGAGTAGCCTATCTTCATATCCAAAAATACTCAAGTTTGTGTTTTCTACCTCCTACAGGAATATTTGGACTTACTAAATACAGGAAATGTTGAAGAGAAAGATTACAGATAATCCTGTAGATATAAGAAAAGCTTTGGAATTTATAAACAGTAATGAGATTTGGCAAAAACTCGCTTGAAATCCAACATTAAGATGTATGCTGCAAAGTGAGAAATAATACCAATGCTTTAACATACATTCATTGAAGTTTATGAGCATAATTGTAGTGAAAACTATAAGTGAGAGAAACTGATTACTCCTCTGTTCGAGAAGAAAATGCAAGTGATAATTACAACAAAGTGATGAAAATTGAACTGTAGGCATCAACAACATCTACCAGTTTTAACTCGATGTAGACAAGAGTCAAGGCCAGTCATTGGGTCATACATTCTGCTCAACGTGCTCAATGTCAATGTCAGTATTAAAGTCCAAGCCTGCAATGCTCATCCGGCCAATGTTAACTGCACATTCAAACTTCGTGTGAGGACTTATACAAGAACTTGCACGGTAAAGCTTGTATGTGACTAATATAGTACTCTGTCTTGACAATCTCAAACTTGATATTGTGAATGTGATGCAAGTTTACAGGGGTAGAGTAACAATATCTTAGAAATACAGTCATCACAGCAAGTGCATGGAAGCCCAGCCTGTTTCTTGGTCTCCAATAGCTTCTCCAAATAATATATTCTAGAAGAGTGTATAGTGAAAAGAACAGAAAGAATATATTAAAAAGAGCCATTGCTTACCAACAGCATTCGTCCCAGCTAATTTGGGCATAAACTGCCTAATATGGTCTTCTGCTGCTTTCTCAGCTTTCAGTGTTTCACACTCAAAAGAAACTACAATCTTGCTCTTCCCATGCTTCTGTTCAAGCATACCCACAATATCATTCTCCCATCTGTCCACAAATGGAATGTATGAGTAGAAGAAAAACAAATACAAAACAATTCCAAATCTTAGGAAATAAGTGACAGTATGTTCGACTATAAGCTAAAATAGATCATCCATATTGGCATGTACATTGAGATACCGACACCTAAAAATAAATCCTTATAAAAAGAGTACTATTACAGCTTAATTACTTATAGGTATTGTAACTGCAGTTTCAATAGAAGATGTTTCAGCTTCAAGTATATTTATATCGTTACAAGCTGAATCCTACTAAACCTCAAGAAGTATATTTACATATTTACAAGCTGAATCCTACTAAATCTAAAGAAAAGAAGCTAACAAATAAGTTTGAGATCATATAGCAGCATCAAGAACACCAAATGATATAGAGAATTGTCAACAGAAAATTGAATACTCTTCAAGAACAGTGTGTCTCGAGAAGTAGGGTCACAAGTTGGGTTACCCATGAGCATGGTCAATGTTATGTAAGCGAGCAGCATCATGCCCTCTACACTCCACCACCACATCTCGTTCTCTCTTAGTCTATCATATACCAAAGAAACGAGCACAAAAGATGAAGCTTACAAAACAAAGTATTTTCAACAGAAGGCAAACAGAGGCAAGCGGCTCTTACACTGTAGTCTGTGATAGTGAGCTTAATCAAGCGATAGTCCTCACCCCTGCTGCATTCTCTTTCACACGCTAACTCTTTTTTGTCAAGGAAATATACAAACATAAAAATATACATCAGTGACACAATGCTATGAAACAAATGATGTGGCTCGACAAAGCTGAATGGTGAAAAAAGATTAACATAGTTGCCAACCTGTTGGTTTTAAGCCTACCAATCTATTCGTATTCAGTACAATTCAACATCTCCATCTGAATTTAATTAGCATGAAATAAACTAAACCAAGGATTCCTTTTCCAATAAGTGCATATAATGCTTCTGCTGGGATTAGTGACAGAAGTTACATAAGAGGTGAATATTATTCGCCCCATGCCTACGCCTTCTAGGGTGATATTTGTTTGGAGACCTTCTGGGAGTCTTCTTGTCATTGGAACCTCTTTTTCTTTTGGAACTGCCCGAGCTAGATGACAAAGCTGAGTTGTAAGGTACTTTTTCACCCCGCCAAATTTGTATGGCTACACCCAATACTCTTAACACAATTGTGAATCACAAATTCCATGCTTCCATGGACGGCCAAACGGGTAGAGACTAAAATTGAATGTTTCAGACTAAAATTTAACTAAAGAAACAGGGAATCAAACCAAGTACAATTGAAAAGAGCCACAGAGATATGATGGGTAACGTTGAATCGTATAGGTATAGACACATATGATATGCATCAATACGAACATACATACACGAACATATGAAAAAAAAATTACATGTACCGGCGCCATGGAGTCCATAACAGACAGAATGAGGAAGCTGAATGAAGTGGCCTGAGATGGACCCACTAGGTAGCAAAGCTATTGATGCCACTCCTTCCATCACCTCCCCTCTCTTTGCTGATCTTCCTTCTTTCTCACCTTCTTCTATAACACCCAAAACAATATACAAATCCATTAAAAACACATAAATCATAAACATATATATACCCATAAGCTTTCATTAAGAGTGATCATATCTCACTACCCAATTACTGAAAACGTAAGATGAGACTTACCCATTTTGTAGAAGCTCTTATTCCTTCAATTTGTCAAATTTCTCGGTTATATAGGGCTCACGACAGTATCACTCTCCAAGAGCGAATTTATACTCCCTTTTACTAGACCAGAAGAAGAGAGTGCCCCGGAGAAAGCACGCGCAACTCACGTGACTAATAAGATGTGTGGGAGTGAGATCTCTACATATACGATGTCGTTTCTTTCCCAATTTGTTTAGCCTTTTTTCATTTTTGCACCAAGATTTTCCCATTCAGCCAAGTGTTTCTTTGCTCCCATTCCTCTTATCTAAAATCTATATAATAAAATAGTTTACAATTCAAATCTTAATAGATAAACAAAATGATTTTTATTATTTGTAATTGAGATCGCTTTAAATTTTACTTTAAAGTTAATCTAATGGCTAATATTAACACCCTAAATTTAATAGAAAAAATAGGTCTCTAAAGGTGTGTTTGGAATAACTTTTTAAAAATACTTATAAAAATTATTTTTCATAAATACTTTAAAAAAAAAATAATGACCGTTACACCACTACCTCTACCACTACCATCGTCGTCGCAGTCGCCACCACTACCACCACCACCGCCATCACGACTGTTGCCACCACCATCACCGCTATCACGGTCATTGCTGCCCACCACATCCATCACTGTTTCTTACTACCACTATTGTCGTCCACCACCTCTCACACCACTACAAATCGATGCTTAAATTTTTTTATCTTTTCTCTATATTTGTGATTTGATTTTGAATATAAATACAAATATATTTTTTATTTTTTATTTTTTATTACTCTGTGTCTTTAGGCACAGACAATAACTAATAATATATATGATATAAATAAATAATAATGATCCCGACATTCACCTCCAACCCAAGTGGATAAAAAGGGTGATGCTAGGGTGACCAAATAAAGAAATTATATTATCTCATACATACCTCTAAGCATCTAAGGCCAAATCTACCTTGAATAATCTCACTCTTCAACTTCAAATCAAGAAGAAGAGAGACACCTTATAGAAACTCACAAGATCCACATTGGTGTATGAAGGATTAGATCGAGTAGATCTTGTAAGAAGTCCTTAAAGATTAAAAGAGAAAAAGTCAGATCATTGAGTTCGATTCATCCTTTGAAGTCAGTACTCAAGATTTTTTGGCGATTCCGAAAAGAAGGGTTAAAGAGGCAAACGTCTAACCATAAACTAGGTTGAGATATAAGACTTTAGACCTTGTAATCATATTTTGAATATATTGAATTAGGTTTTGGTGGACCAAGATGGTTTTTCCCGGAAGGACTTCCAAATTAAAATTTTCTTGTATTGTGGTTGTTATTGATTTACTTATTTTGCAATAGCACACACATGCATTTCCTCATGCACACACACCATGTAGAATAATATTATTTGGACTTAAAAATTTGACCTAATTTACTGATCTAATGATGTGACTTCACAGAAATCATTGGATCAACACTAAATTTTAATATTTGATGGGATTTACAGTCAATTTAAAGGTTACAGTGAATTAAGTCAACAAATTATATCAATAAATTAAGTTCTAATAGCATTGCTCCCGCCATTTATTTGATGAAATATTTGTTTAATTGTTGAATCTCACATTCTCATCATTGTAGTTTGAAATTTGGTGAAAATGCTTGGAGGGATAAAGATGATGAATTTGCATGGAGTAGTTGTACTTGTTGAATTGATCAGTCTTATATCCACACATTCATCAAAAGGGTCTGTTCATTAAAATTGATTGCACAAATCAATTGGTAATTATTGATTTAAATTGGTATATGTTTTCACATGAAGTGTAAAAGCTCTATTCACTTTTTTTTAAGTCATCTGTTACGTAATTTCACGTGAATAATTATGTCGGGAACGATCGAATTACACTTACCTAGAATTTAAATAAATGATGGTGGTGGTGAACAGAGGAAGGCAAGTTTTGTATGGTCGGTTTTGTTTGTAATTCACCGCAAGTTCTTTCATATACTGTGGGAAAATATGATATCTCATGTGATTGGATGTCATGAAACCAATTACAGTGGCCAGTGAACAATTGGAAGTCAATAAGGGCATTATAGTCATTTTATTAGTTTCGTTAATAAAGTGAGACGGTTATCATTAATATCTAGGATGAGAACGTCTAGTCTAGTTGTTATTTGGACAAACCGAACATGAATTTAATTTACCCTTGTTTATTTACTTGATCTTGAAGCTGATTTCTTTTCCCGATCATCTCCAAAGAAGTTTTTCAGGCAAACACTATTCTTCAGCACTTACAGTGGAGTTCAAACAACCTACTCTATCTTCATGCTCATCTCTCTATCCATTCCATGAGAGAGTATTGGAACTTTTCCTATCCGGATAAGATAATTGCATTCCAATGTTCCTATCATGCACCACATTGGATAACCTCTCTCTTTCTCTCACACACACACACACTCATGGTGTGTGTTCATCTTTGTCCGTCTATTGATGGGATATTTTCCAGACACTCCAAAATAGCGACACGTGTATTCGGTGTCAAAAAAATACTCTGTTGTGATTACGACACCTGCTCGTCGGATCATAATCCCTCTCCCCCTGAGATGGTACTATGCATAAGGATTTACGACGCCGGTACGCACGGGCGACACGTATTCCTCGAACGATTGGGGTGGATACATCAGCCCTGACTGTACTAGGATCCCGGCACCGATGTGTACCACTACGTCGACGTTCTTGTTCCTACAGGGCTATTGATAGACATGTCATCAGTCTGGATTAGGCTAAATTAGCCATCATGACCTGATCCTACCTAGATGGTGTCATGACGCACAAGAAAGCAGAAGGCTCAACCAAAGGGAGCTGACACGTGGCATACTGTGTCAGATCAGAGGCGAAAAGACCAGAATGTTCTTGCTGATACACGACTTGGGAAAACAAGTATTTAATGCACCTTTCCCTTGATGAGACAACATTTAATGCGTGAAGACCCGGAAGTGAAAGACAAGGGATGATCCTGTGACAGAGCATTTAATATATCCCAGCCGAATAAAGATCATTAAATGCTCAACAGACCGAGGGTGATGCATTGGTTGCTCGGGGTCCCGAGCAGTTAAGGAAGAGGTCGTTTCTCCTAAAAATCAGTGTGCACGTTACCCGCCTCTAATGATCACCTGCTGACCATACTGACAGCAATCATGAGTTTTTAAGGTATAAATATTCTTCACAAAATGCATGATGAGGTACGCAGAAACCTCTTCTCAAACCTATACCCAGTGTTTTCTTCTTCTCCTCTCTCAAAGAACTAACTTGATTGTCAGAGGGGATACACCGAAAAACACTTCGGCGCCCTCCTATCTCGTTTTTCTGTGTTTCAAGAATCTCCCGCAGTCTTACTGGACCGCTCCGATAACCCCACAAAAGTCACTCATTATCGTTCCAGGCTACCACTGGATCTCACACTGTTCCAAACAACAAGGCTGACCATTCGATTGACTGACTCGTATTCACCACAGGAGAGATCTGTTCTTGTGTGTATATTGTGCAAGATCCTGCATGCACATCTATATATGTGTTTGGACATAAAATATCAAATCTCAAGAATATTCAATGTATCGACATTTGACATCTTAAGTGCATTAAGAAAATGTCACGTGATAGAATCTAAAAAATAATAGAAAATGTCACGTGATAGAATCTAAAAAATAATAGGAGATGATCCGTCACAACCATATTTAAAAAAGAAGGAAGAAACTAACTGGAAGTTATCGGCCAGTAACTATCACTAAAAGCAAAATCATTGAAGTAAAGTGCTATAAAAGGACACGTAGTGGAGTAGATGAAAGATACACTTAAACCCTCCACAAAACTTACAATTTAGGAATTTTGAAGAGTAGTGTTTAGATTAGTTTTAAGAGTCCGTTATTGTTACAATCAAAACTATTTATTCAGTCTCCTTGTAATCAAAGTCTATTCGATTGAGTTAATAAAAAAATTCTCTTTTATTAGTTTTCATCTATTGTGTGTCTCCTCATTGTTTATCATCCAAGGAAGTCCTAAAATAAGGTATTTAAACTCTTGATAAACAATCGTCTGAAAACTATCAATCGATTGAAATATATCTATCAATTCCAGCAAATTTTAGAACAACAATATGCTTACATAAAATAAATGCATTCAAAATGTGGCAAGTTCCCAATTTTCATTTTTTTTTTATCTTTTTTGGTGCATTAAACAATATATACCATATACTTGGTATCAACATATGAAATATATTAAATAAAAATTCTTTTGTAATATATAACGAAGAATATAGCCTTTCCTAAGTGCAAGGGTGAAAATAATTGTTATACGGCTACTCAAGTTTGACAATAGATATGTCATATGTATAGACTAGTCGGGCACGATTAAATATAAAATTTGAGAGTCTAAAAAATTAATCCCATTATATTAATTTTTTTAAAATATATTAATTATAAATTAATTAAATATTAAATGATTAAATATATTATAGAAATAAGTGATGTGATATTTTTAGGGAAGAAATATATAAATGATTAAATATATGATAGAAATAAGTGATGTAATTTGGCATTTAAGTCTGACAAATGGATGATAGGTGAGATAAGTAATTGGTGATGATTTTAAAAGAGAAAATATGACTGAAATAAAATTCAAACACACTCCTGTATTATTATATAGATAACTCTTTAACTGTACTTGCAAACCTTCTTTGATTTAAAAAATAAAAACTCATTTTATGCCTTCGTTGGCATTGGTAAATGCCAATGCATTAACTTGTAACCGTTTAACGAACAGGTTTGAGCATTTTTTTTTTCTATTTAGCGAGAGAGAGCATTTCAAGTTCTTAGGAAAAGCCGTATGGGGCAGCTTAGATCTTGGGCCGTGTTGGGCTAGGTTAGCGTGGAGGCTAGCCCAAGGTCTGGCCCAGGCCTAACAATCTAGCTTGAAGGTCTGGGCCAGCCCAACCTCTGGCTCCGAGTCAAAAATTTATCCAACAGTAATCACATATAAAAATCAAAATACTTGACGGCAGAGGGGTAAGTAAGTTGGGTTCGAGCAAAATACTAATCACAATGTACAAAAATTCCGCAAAATTTTAAAAAAAAAAAAGGGATAAAAAGCCAACACCATCACTACCAACAATATAACATCAACCAGGATTCCTTTTGCCACCTGAGGGTTATGTACATAGATAATCATTCATCAATGCACCAGGCATATGAAAAGTATAATAATGTCACCTAATGCAATTCTCAAGTCAGATTTTTTCTTTTTTGAGGCAAAATACAGAAGGGTAGGGCAAGTTTTACTTGTTCACTTGAGAATGCTTGTCAAGAATGTGGATTCCAGTGGCAATTCAAAAGATTGTGAGAGTACAACTTGAACTTGTATAATTCATATTATGAAAAAAAAGTCGCGCATTTCAATTGAAGAATCATGGTTCATGATTGCAGGAATACAAGTGTATTAACCATAAGAAAATATACTAAGTGAATGTGAAATCAACTATATGGACATGGCCAAGCGCCAATACATGATTTATAATGAATGTCATCTCACCAAGCACCCCGTTGCCCAGAAATACATCTATTTCAATAATCCAGCATTCTTTACCTGTACAGGGCATAAACAAATCTTTAGCCATAGTTGACAATAGTGAAAAAATAGCATCAAAGCAACTACAAACCTGCAAATGATGCTCTTTCCACCCTCGGAACTGCAATTTATAAAATTACACAAACACATTTGTTCTGCTTTGAGTTGTTCAACGCTTTCTCTTCTGTTCCATGAAAAAAAAAACATACTTTAATTGCAGAAAACTAAGGGCTCAAGGAATCAATACTGAATGGCAAAGATAAGTCATTAAAAAGTCAATGAAATGGATCAAGAAAAATGATATACTTCATTCATCAAAGTGTCACTAAAGGCGTGTACAACATCTTAGCCAATACCAAAACCAATACCTTTTTCCAAAGGTGGGGGTTGAACAACGACAAGCATCGTTGTAACTCCTCCAGGAATAGCACAAAAGGGGCTTCTGCAGTCTCCCACTGTTCTATTGTTCTCCAAAATTTTCCCTGCACCTAGTAACATGACATCTTTTATCGTCCTTGGACCATTCTCCTTATCTGATCAAAGATAGTATGTTTGGATGAATAGTGATTAGTGTAGAATATTGCATATGGATGAAGCCCAGTATAAGAAACTAGAAAATTTACAAGGAAGGTGCATGTGATGCAGTATATCACCTAAAAACACGAGACAGACTACAATGTGAACCACAAACTAGTGGTAAAACAAGTCCATTTTACTGCTTTAGTATCAACTTTTGATCCATCAGTTAAATCACAGACACAGTTGAGTTACTTTTGCCATCAACTTAAACTGAGCCCAGTATATAAGATAAAATGGGGTCTGTTTACATTAAATTAAGAGGAACAAGCAAAAGGGGAGAAACAGTATCCAAATAGATGACTTTGATTATCTTAGGTCACTATCTTCAACCCCAGCTACCTATGTATCAAACTTTGAAAAACCCGGTGAAAGTTTCAAGAGATTTGACAGCCTAGATCATAAACTTGATCCAATTGCAATGATTAAGCAAATACATGACTCAAAAAAAAAATACACTTAATCGTGTACATTTTTGTAATAGATTCTGGGAAGTTAGTAAAAAAGGTGCAACATGGGTTCACCCACCATAGTATAACAAAATAATGAGCAAAACAGGCGCCAGTGAAGAAAGGCACTCTTCACATTAGCTGCACCCAACAAGTAGACCACTAGTCCATTATTTCCATTGGAAATTTCTTCTCGTAGATTTCAATATCAATGTGTGCCTCATGGAATTGAAATCATTCCAGAGCAAACAATTATCATTGTGCCACCTTGGTTAAATTTGCAACAACACATGCAGGATCACCCAATTGGTATTCATAAAATGATGTTTTTCCAATACTTGATCATCAATCACAGTTATGTATTAATGGTTTCAACGGCAATGACAATATAAAAGGAATGTTTCCATTTCATTGGCCATCAAGATTTCCCTAAATGAAGGAAAAATGCTACACATCACTTTTCCCTTTCATCTCAAACTAAATTATCATCATTCTCAATTTTACCACTCATATCATTCAAGGTGGGTATCTAGATGCACCTTTGCAAATGATAGAATTGCACTTAAGAACTTCAATCAAATAATGGAATTAAAACCTATATTAGAATTCAATGCACACGACTTATATTCAGCCCAACACTCTGATGAATCATGGTCTCATAACCGGGCTTCTCCCATAATTCATCAGCAACGGCCATTAAAATAAAGGCATGCAAGCACTGAGAGATCTCAGAATAAAAAATAATCCAAAGACCCAACAAACCTTTAGGCCATTGAGCAAGGATGCTTTCCTTCAAGGTTGCAACGCTTGTAGCAGCAGGATAGCTTTTGGGGCCAATGTCTGTTCCATCAATCAAGCGGAACTTGATCTCTAGCTGATCTTGCACTCCAGACATTTTCCAATTCTTCACACACGCTTTGTATTCAAAGTTTCAAAACACCAAGGATTTTCACTTGTGTTTTCTCCAAATTGTTAATCTGAATTACACGACTTCAAAAAGATCTAGAACTCATTCAATCTTGAGTAATTGTGTTCTGAAAGATTGAATAAACAAAGTGAAGAACTATTCTTTGAGAACTGTGTTATGAAAGCAATAATCACCAATAAACAGAATCTGAATTTAGAAGTCTAGGACAAAAGAGGAAATCAGCAATAAAACGCCCTTTTTTCTACCAAAAACAGAATCAAAATCCCACTCCACTATACTAATACAAAACAAAACATTAAAAACAAATAGATTGCAAGAAAACACATACCCGACTCGCGAGTAGAATCTCTGAGAGCCAACACCAACTAACATCACCAAATCTTCAAATAAATTCTATAACGCAGATAATCCACTCAGATCATTAACTGGGTCACCTCATAAGTCAAACAACCACCATAAAGGTTCTATGTTCTGCTCAATTCTTCAACTGGGTATACGGCAGATCAACCGTTCTCGCTCAAAGATGAGAGAAAACCCTTCTTACAAGCGGGTCAGTCTTGGCTCAAAACTGATCTCGATCCTTGTCTGTCTTCCACACAATTTTCTGGGTTCAAAAACACAAGCTGGGAGAGAAACCAACACAGTTTTTGTATGTATATGAAAATGAATGATATAAATCAACGAAAAACAAATGGAGGAGGAAGAAGAGGAAGAGGAATTGGAGTTCTCAAAGTCTGGCCGTACATCTAAGGTCAATGAATCTATCCTTATCTGCCCTTTGCCTTCTCCTTCCCCTTCTCCTTCCAATCCTCCTACGTCTATGGAAGAATTGACAGGTTTTAATTAATTTCTGTGTTTTAAGAGTCACGTTTTAACTTTTAATATCATCCACTTTAACTTTAAATGTGGTGTGAAATTATTGCACCAAACATTTGATCACTACCATATTACCATTTTTTTTTTAATCGTCAAGATATTCGCATCTCAACTAGCTCTTTCATCGATCCAATCAATCATTTGCGTTAGAATTAAAATATTCATAAGAATATTCATGAAATAATTCTCATGGCATAGTCCAAAAAAATTACTAAATTTAAATTTAGGTGGTCATTATCAAATTAATAATTACCTTATTTTGCCAACTTAGTTTAAGATTTACAAATAGTATTAATTCTATGTAAATTAGTTTCTCCCAAAGCTAATTGAATAATTAATATCCATTTACATATCATCATAATTAACAATGAATCCAAAGATTTTTCAATGATTTTAAAAATTGGAGAGAAGTCAAATATCAAATCTTTTTCTTATGCAATTACAATTCCTTATAAAACAAATAAAAAAGTATAAATTCAATTTTTTGGGGGTTCTTGTTTCCCAAAGTTTAATTAAAATGAGCATGTCGACCAAAACAATCCTTTAGTTCTTTTTTTTTTTTTTTTTTTTTGGGGGGGGGGGGGGTTTGGATTTTAACTTGAAATTTAATGAGTTATTTCACAATCCTTGTGGATGTTTGTAAATTAATGGCAGTTTCAAATAATGTAAGAAATATATTAATTATAAAGTATGGGATTTTGATAAAGTTTTCACTTTTTCTCTTGTTCATGTGGGAAGGAAGGGGTGCGGGGTGGGCCATGCCCTGTGGCCCCGTTGAGCTTGAATTTTTGTCGATAACGCGTTAGAGCTTGAATTTATGTGATCCACAGAGGGTGTCAATAGATCGTGATTCGAATTTGAATTTGATTATTTAAATATAAATAAATATTTTTTTATTGACAATTATAAATTTAAATTTAGGTTCGGTATCTTATATTTCTTAGATTTTGATATAGTTATATATGATTCGAATTATTTATATATAAATATTAAAAAAATTTAGGTATAATTTATTAAAATTTAATTAATAAATTATTTAGATTGAATCAAATTTTTTAATCGGATTCCAAATTGTTAATGGATTTAAAAATTGTTAACCATAAAAATAAAATTCGTCGAATTATTGTATCAAACTTTTGAAATCGGATTAGAATTCGAATTAGTGCACATCTTATTTGTTAACAAGCCTATCAACAAGTTATAACACTCGAACTAAAACCCATTTAGCAATAAAGGGATAAGTTACCGATTTTTTTTTGGTATCATACTAAAAATAAATTTGTATTCATAAATTTTAAGTTAGTTGATTAATTATAAAAATAATAAAATTAAAAAAAAAAATTCACGCATCACATTCTTATTGAATGAAAAATTAGGACACGATAACAAAAAATAAATAATCTTGTTGTACCCTACCTAGTTAGACATGGGAACAAAAACATCCTTAGTTTTACCTATTCCTGTGATTAGAACATGCTGTCAGCCATTACACATGGTGGTACTAGTGGTAGGATCAAATCCAATGTATTACTTTGGATGGTCAAATCCGAGTTAGGAACTTAGGACCACTAGTACCATGAAACTTCAGTTTGGCAACAAACTGTGGGTGACCTGAAGGGGGTTTTGGGTTTGGGGGTGGGGGTGGGGGCACTTCTAACAACCCGCCGGCTTTCTTAGAACGGAACCGTAGACCTGAGTGCTCTTAGATTCGAAGAGGAGGTGGATTTTCTATCTTTCGATTAAGAAAATAATAGAATAAGGGTTCTTCTATTATTGTTTTAATAATTTATGAGATTTCTCTTAATTCATCATATATGAATAAAGAAATTATTTATAAATGGTAGATATCACGAGAATCTATGGTAAATAATTTATATTAAATTAAATTGAGTAAAGATATAATAAAAAGAGTCTCAATACGAGACATGTGTAGGATTTGAGATTCTTACACGTGAATTTGCAAGAATCAATTACATTCTAAGACCCACTAATTCAAGCAAATCCAATGCTAATCAACCAATGGAATTTTTACAGAATCATAATCTTCGAGAAAAGCAAAATGCCAAACGTATTCAATCAAGTGGGGTGGGGTTACTAAGTAATTGGGAATGTCTTTTTTAAGGATAAAGGACAAAGAAATGGCAATGATATCTGGGAACGACCAATTGTTAATGGGTTTCTTGTCGTAGCCAACTTTGAAAATTCCATAAACTAGAATATTTTGTTCAAATATATAATGTATATTAGGAATAATTCGTATTCGAAAACACGATATAATATAAATAATTTTGAAAAGGATGTTAATGACTGTTGGATAAATCTATTCAAGACCATCGAATGAACTTATTAAAACCCGTTCTGTTTTATATTATAGATTGTCAATCAATGCTCTCCCATGAGAAAATAAAAGCAAATAAATTAGATAAAAATTATTCTCAAGGATGATAGCATTTTGTTTTCCTTTAGAAGCATCTGGACATACTCGTGGAAATACAAAATTCCATGCCTGCATACATTTGCATGTCTCACAAAGAGTGAAAATTAAATGTAACAGTAAAACCGTGTCATCAAAGACTAAAAAACAGTAAAGACATTTGCAGTAATATTCAAAAGAAATGGATAAATTTTTTTTTTTTTTTTTTTGGGTGGGGGAGGGGGGGGGGGGGGGCGGGGAATGAATTTTCTGCACATATTAAATGTTTCTCATGAATTGTACATGACAAATAACCAATATAAAAACCTCATAATTCCCCAAATTCTAAGGGACCTGTAACAGAGCAATCTCCAAAACTTATCCCACCCAAAAATCACAATGATGATATAGAGAATCAAAAAGAGAGGGGAAAATAATGAATAAGAGCTGATAAAGTAAAGGAGAGAAATTAAGCCAAAAAAAAAAAAATCATGTCTAAGGCTAACTGGGCTAAAGTGGGAGCCTTGCAAGGACCTGCATCCTCACTTTCTTCTTCTAGCAACAATGATAGCAATGCCATGGACAATTTTCAACCAAGTCCGTTTGCCCCCATTATTTTTGTTCCATGTAATAGGCAAAACCCCCCCCGGATCAGGAAGGCCAAATTTTTGTTCCTTTCCCCACGAAAGAATTGACGATGAATTGCTATGCTACAGACTGAAAGAATGTATGGCATTCCTCTGCTAGTGATGCAAGTACTCTTCTTCAAAAGTGACGGAACAGCAGCAAATCCAGATGTTGAATGGATATTATCCACTGGCCAATCTGTTGTTCTACTCGGATCTATATTGACAAAATTCTGTAGGTGCAAAAGAAACTCAAGGAGAGACCCCTTAATGCGGCCATCTTCCCTGTTCTGTCCTTTTTTTGTTTCAGCACCCTTAGTTGATAGATTACCACTACTCCAATATGTGGCAATTCCTAACAAAGTCATTGGAGTAGTTAACATATTTGGTCCAAAATGGCCGGAGATGCTCAAAGCCTATCTGCAACCATGGTTTTGACTGGCCGTTGTAGTGGATTACAGCGGCTTTTTTCACACTCTCGATATTGGTCTTATTCTGGTAGCCCAAACCGAGCATGTGCCATGAAGGATCAATCGGGTAAACATGACCTTTAAATGCAATCAAAGCTGGGGGTAAAGTTCCAAGCTTCCACATTGTCAGGTTTGACTTCAAATTCTGCAAGATCCATATCATGACAAGAAATGTTACCGTTACCCGCCATAGTGAAAAATATACTCTTCAAAAACCAAAAACATGAGATGCTCATCCATATCATTTTTTTCTTTTTTGGGTGGGTGGGTAGGGGAACTGTACAACTATTTGATTTCAAAATTTCATCACTTGCATGTTGGAAGGAGACAAAATACATCAGTAACATAAATAATAACAATCTTCAAAATGGTTTGCTAGCAGAACAAGTGGTCACTTCACACATTTAAAGGCGCCAATTGCTTATCTGCCACATATTTGCTCCTTTGCACAGAGATACGAAAAACACATAAGTACCACGTGTCCCCTACCCAGCTACCCCCAGGGAGACAAAGTGCATAAAGCAGGATTGGACCTTACTATCTAATGGTGCAATACTCACACAAATGAATATAGGAATTACAATGATGAGATTTAGATTCAGACAAACAGAATCAGCTTGGCAACTCCTGCAATTAAAAACAAGCTATTCCGCTACAAGAGCAAATATTTTCTGCTATTTATTAGAATCCATTATAAGTGGTACCCAAAGAAAAAGAAAAGAAGCCAGAATTATCACAGCCAGTCAGACACATACGGAAGTAGTAGTACTTTACCTCCTTCAGCCAAGCATGGTAAGCCTCCCTTATATTTTTCTTTCTCCATGCACGTAAATCAAAGATATTCATCCCATAAGCCCACGCACATTCATCAGGGTCCAAATTCTTTGCTATGAGGGGATGAGAAAAATTGAAGTAATTCCTGAATCGCTTGGACATTACCCATTCATCTTCACCTTTACAGGTTTCAACAGCTCCATTAACCTTTCCACCAAGGTCAATCTCCCAAAGCGGAGACAGATCACGTTGAATTACAATGTCATCATCTAAGAAAACCACCTTGTCAAGGTTTGGAAAAAGCTGCACAATGCAACATCATCAGCACGCAACTAAAGAAGAAAGAACAACTAGCAAAGATACAGCACCAATAACAGTTCCCATTTTCTGGTATCTATGGAATAGTACCTACAAAGCCCATGCAAGATTGAGTCATGAAATAAACGAGGCAAGCTAGATCAATTTTTGAGCTCACACTTGTCTCCATAAGTTATCTGTACTAAATTTTTATTTGATTGAAAATAAAAAGATCCCTGGAGTGCAAATAGCCAATGACTTGAATGAAAGCTTGCTCGTGAGATGGATGAGGCAAGCTCAAGCTTCATATTGGGTCTCATCATTTCTCTGAGCAGAAATTGAGCAAAACTCTACTTAGCCCAATCGGCTGGTTTACTTAATTCTGAAAGTTCAAGCTTCCAGACTGCAAGTAATTCACAGCTTATCACTACAGACGAATAAAAAATATCATTGCCTTCCATTTCCATACTATCCCTTTCAATATTAAAATAAATTTAATCCTACAGATATTTCTTATTAAATTCAGATTTTCATGCCTCAAAACATTCAACAGCCAAAAAAAGGCAAAAGAATGGCAGTGAGAGACTGGGTTCAGGTTTTTGATAATCTGGAATTAGTGAAGAAAGAAGAGAGAGGATGGAGATTTAAAACCGAATGGAGATGCGGAAGAACTTGCACAATTGGTGTTTGTTTCTAAGTAACTTGCAATTCTGCCACAGGTAAGGAGTCCAGTGGACAGAATAACCTTTAAGAAACATGGTTACTTTTTCTCATTTCTTTGTAATCACAACCATAGAGTATTTGAAGTTCCTTCAACTAAACAAGTAATTAAATCGTCGCATCCAATTACCTCTGGCAGATATATGCGAAGATGGTTCAGCAATGAGATGTACTTTGGGCTTCTAGCCTGCAGTTTTGAGGCGAACATTCTTGGAGTTGTATCACTGAGATTGGCCCCAGCAACATGATTCCCATGGTAGTAATTCCGAATCCCATAATGGTTTTCCACTGCCTCAAGCACTGGAACATTCTCTCTCGTTAACCAGTCAAACTGATGAACGCCTTTCACTTCAACTATAGCAGGAGAGAGAGGATTCAGAGCAAACCATGAGTGCATGCCTGCATAGGTTTTCTTGTCAGTGACAACATGGAAGACAATCTTCTCAGGCTTTATGGATGACTGAACAGCAGAGGTGACCACAACCGCAGCAGCCAAAATGTTATCAGTTGCCAAGACAAAGTGGTGATACAAGTTATCAGAAAGCAAAGGGAGTAACTCGGGTGAAGGCAACTGTTTGCGTGCATGAGCATTAGAAGAGTATTCATCAGTCAAACGAAGGGAAAGACAGTGGATGCCTTTTGGAATGGAGCTAGCTGCAAAGTGCTTGTTCATTAGTTCGGCGAACTTTGATTCCCTGATCTCCCTCTCAGATCTTTCCATCTGTGTGCAGAAGAAAATTACAGCTGTAAAATAGATTCAAATGTCACTGAGATATGAATAAAGTGGGGGAAATGTACATGGATCCTGACATTTTTAACAATGTCTAAATAAAGTGGTACCCAAATTGGCTCAACGCACACATGAGCAATTTATTATACAGATCCAAAACGTAAAAATGGACCCCCATATTAGTTTAACAGGATAGACATCACACAAGTTTTATCCCATTTAATAAACAAGTCGTGCCATGTCATATAGATAAGGAGTATCATTAGACGAAAGGCCCGTTAGTTTGAAACCGTAACTCCTTGCAATGCATATTTAGGACAAATGTGTAAGGACAGTATACAGGGATGCAGGACCGACAGTGTGCCCTTTAGTAGACCCAAAACCTACACTCACTCTTATATTCTTCAATATTATACTTATTCTCCAATCCCCACTTTAAAGGAGGAAAAAAAAGGAGGAGGATAAGGCTAACATGTGGACTCTCACATACAACTAAATGAGCAAGTTAAATTGCCACATACCATGCCTTTTAAAATCAAAGTGAACTCCTTTGCACTGTACTTGTTAGTTTTCATTTCAGACACAAGTTGACGAAATGAGTCTGGGAGCTTTAGCCCATCTGGGATTTCCTCAGTGTTCACTTGATTGAGAAGTTTGTAAAAGTCCCTAACCAGTCTCTGCTGAAAGGTGAACATGAAAAGATTCAGCTTTAAGGAAGATAAAAAATCAATAAAACTAACGAATTGTTCGCAAATCAAAGAAGAGCAAAAACAATAGTCAAGTGGGACATAGGTAGACTTAAAGTAGGGAATTAACAGCGACTCACCCCTGTATCATCACCCCTGCCAAGAAGCCTCGGTCCCAATCGCCTACCTAAACAATCTGAAGCATAGAAAAAAGAAAGAATGAAACCAAAGATTGTAAAGGAATATGTTAACAACAATTGCAAATTCAGAAGACTGGACAATCTTTTCTAACAACAAATACTTTGCCAAAAAGCGGGCTGCACAAAGCAAGCACACAAGAAAAGAAAGAATAATATCAAAACCTGACTGTTACAGTAATACAGCATAAAAACACTAGCACATATTAATAACTCGTCAAAATGACACATAAAGCAGGCTTTGGAAATTAAGACAACACTTCTCCATAAAAATCTAGAAGTTCTACAATAAGACATACCATAATGCTATTCATTACTGTGAAATAGTATTGATCAAAGGAAAATAGAGAGGGAAAGAGGGTGGGACAAACTCCTTGTCTTGTAAAGGCTGTGCCTTCTTGAGGTCAAGGGTTCAAGTGCTCTTCCCCCTCCCCCAAAAAAAAAAAAAAAAAACAATCATTAGCATGAACTAATTATAACGAAGGGCTAAAAAGCTAAACAAAAGGTGCCAACTCCTAAAACTGCAATAGCAGACGAGTAGGATTTAAATACATTTTAGCCATAAAAGGGATGCTAGAAGACGGGTAAAGATAGAAGATGAGCTCTGCAATATCGACCATATAAATAGATACTAGGCTCTAACTTGTTGGAATCAATTTCATGGCTTTTTATCATTGGCCAAATAGTAATTAAAACTGAGTCCTCATCCAATATGACCTTGAAAAATCAAAATGTCAAAAGAGAATATAAACTCAATCATCTTCCAACCTAATCAGAAATACTCTTTTAAGAATTATTTGCAATCAGAATATCAAACATTCAATAAAAATTGATTTTCCTGCCCATGCACATAACCAGAAATCAAATCATAATCCATTTGTCCGCCCAAAAGCTAAACCAAGTCACAAACTAAATCCATATCCACGATATGTTTTGTTGCTATATCCACACATTATAAGCACAAAACACTTAAACATGTTCCGTCATAAATCCTAATCTACTGGTTACCATACCAAAAGGAACAAAACAATTTAATCAAATTTCAGTCAAACAAAACCCAATTCAGATCTTTCAACCCAATACCATTCTGATGTAAGAATCCTAATTCAATTCAAACCAAAGCCCATGATCATCCAGCAAAAAACCAATGCTTCCAATCATACTAATCAAGAAAATCAACAAAGGCATGAAATGAATTCAAGATCTACACGAATGATCAATATATAAATATATGCCCCCATATGAAGAGATATGCATTTAAATGAATAATGGAATAATAATCCTGGAAACGGAGATGGAATGAATAAAAAATTTTAAGTACCGAATGAGGAGCACTTGTTGACACCTTCAAGGGTAACAACAGCAGTGAGGATGAAGACGAACGGCAACAAGAAAGCAAGGACGAGGATGGTGTGGAATAGTGTACGGTAAGAGATGTGACGAGCTGCGACCTTGATCTTCATCAAGTCAATAAACCCATTGCTGCTCGATATTGTTATACTTCTCATGCTAGGTGAGAAGTGTAGCTGCATCGTCCCCCTCCGCCACAGCCGAAACCCTAATTGAACAACAACCACAATCCTAATAATTTTTCTCTCCTGTTAACCCCACCCGCAATCTTCTCACCATCAGATCCACCACCGCAATTCGAAGATCCAGATTGATAAGAACCCCTAATCGAATTGCTCGTTTGGGGTCTCTTCGAATACCAATGCATTGGATTTCAAATTTCACCACAAATAATCACAACTAGGGCTGTATATATCTACACTACATGTATATGAATATAAACTAATTGAATTGCGACAAAGGACAAATCAATGAATGAAAAAATCAGAGTAATAGCAAATTTGTTGTTCTTCGCTGATGACTGGTTCTCTCTCGATGGATCGGGAGAGTAAATGCAGAGAGAGAGAGGTTCTTCCTTATTTTGCGTTATTGTTTTTTTCTTTCCTTGTTTTGTCAATGATGTCCGACCGATCTATAACTATTGGTTTTTCTCTAAACAATACCGGGTTGTGTTAGAAAGAGAAGAAGACGGATAAGAGAGAGGGAAAATCTTTTAGAGGGAGAGAGCGAAAAAATTTTAGAGAGAGAAAAAAGGAGATGGTGTTGGTAGAAAGCATTCTTGAATACTAAAAAGAATAGTTTCCTAAAAAGAATAATTTAAGTGATAATAAAAATGAGTTATAAATTTATATATTCTGATTTTGAATTTTGATAATTCTTCGATCAGACATGGCATGAGATATTTAGGGTCTGTTTGGTTTAGTTTTTTGTTCTCTAATTTTTAAAAAATTTTAAAAATTAATGTGTGATTTTAGAGAATTAGTTTTATTGGAGACAAAAAATGCAAAATATTCATTCTTCTTCTCCATCGCTTTCACGTAGTTCTCCCTTTTCAATTTCTGTTTTTCCACCGCTCTATCGTAACTACTAAAGCTTCAGATCTGACCACAGATTTGTATGTGAATGTGAATGTGTATGTGTGTGTGTGCATCTGTGCGTGTGAGTGTTTTGTAGAGAGAAAGATAGGGAAAAGAGAGAAAGATGAGAATTTTGGGTTTTGTGAATTATTGTTCAAACAAATTTTATAATTTTTTATTTTTTAAATTATTTTCAAAAACATATAACCAAATAGGTTTTACAATTTTAAATTTTCAAAAATTATTTTTGAATAACTCTTCTCAAAAATTATTTTTGAATACTGTTTTTTGATATGCAAATCAAACAGACTCGTATCCTTCATGAATAACATAGTTTTAGCGTAAATGACCAACCTTTAATGGAATCAAGAAGGAAATTAGTTTAAATACACGTAAATTCGTTCGGACTCACCTAATCATTAAACAAAAAAAAACACAAGAGAAAAACAAGGGAAACAGGGACTAGGGGTCAATTTGGAGTTAAATTAAGATGTCCCTAACTCTTGGGGGTGTGTTAGAATGGTCGGTAACTACTTAGTCTTATTCGAGAGTCTAATCTCTTTATACTATATTTCTTTTCTATGAAGATAGAAAGAAAGAAGGTGGTTGATTTAAGCTCCTAAGATTATGTTGACCGAAAAAAAAAAAAAAAAACCTCCAAAGGTTAGGGAAAAGCTTTTAGATGATAGATGATGAGATTAGCTTATTTATATTTTAAAGATGTTTTATTAAGATTAAGATAAAAGTGTTTACTATATTTCTTTAGGTAAATAGTGTTTTGCTATATTCCTTTTAGGAATGAATTAAAGTCTACCACATTTGTGATAGGATTGGATAACTAACCTACTAATTCTAATAGTTAAGTAGTATAGGCCTTTAAGAGAATTTGGATGGGATGAATTTCAATCCAAATCGATCACAATATTTTTGACTTGGCTTTATTAACATCTCGTAATTCTTACAATAGAATTATAGGGGTGATGCGACCGAATCTTGATTATACAATTCTCATCATGAGTTGAAAAGTTTCATAAGAAAAAAAAAAAGAACAATTTCGACTCAAACTTGAAAGAGTGGAAAACATAATAATTTCCTTGTAAAAATAGTTATGAGACTATGTTATAGCAAAATCAAAGACTTTTATAAAAATTGTGTTTTTTTTTTATTTCAATATCAAGAGACCATTTGATTACTTCTTTTGAGTAATCTATATCTTAATTTTCTTGTTTTAGGTATTTTTAATAAAATACTATTTGATTTCTTTTTTTTTAAGTATTTTCTCAAAATATTGTTTGCTAAGAATTTTCTTTTTTACTTTTTATTTTTTTACAAGTTTCTTTAGTTTCTCTGGATTAAAACACTTTTATGTCAATATAATATGTTATGCTATTTGTATGCCAATATACAAATACATCACTCTTGTTAAATAACAAAAAATCATGTTTTTACTCACAAAAATACTTTTTACTAAAAAAATTTAAAAAACGTTATCAAACAATACGTATCATAATAAGTCATGGCGGACAACATGTTACTATAATAAGAATGTGTCATTTGTTGCATTGGTGAGATAGGAATATAACTTACATTTCCAAATTGATCCACTTCTTCTTTTGATTATTATGAAAATCAGTGTAATACTCGCCCAAGCAAAGCAAAGCAAATCAAAGAGAGAGAAAAGAAACATTGAACTAGAGAACAAGTCATAGACATTATATTATAATTTATTGGGTAAATTTTATTTTGACTCTAAAAAATACAAAAATTCTCGGTTTACACCTTGAAGGATTAATTTTTTCATATTGTTCTCTCAAATAAATAAAAATATTGTAATGTGGTCAACTTTCTTATTTTTGTTTTGTCTTTTTTTTGTTTTATGATTTCTAATTGGTTGATTGAACACAAAAAAGATAGACGATTAAATGGAAATAACACGGTGGACCACATTCCAATGTTTTTATTTTTTTGAGGGGATAATGTGAAAAAATTAATTATTTGGGGGTAAATTAAATTTTTTATATCTTTCCGTGGCCAAAATGGTATTTTCCCTAATTTTGTTTAGTTAGGCAAGCTATTTGTATTCGTCGGCATGTCAACTCAGTATAAGGTCATAGACAGAGGACAAGGACAACCATGCTATCTACCTAAGATGGCCTTACCCTGACCCCTTCAAATCGAGCATACTTTGCCAAGTCAAACATAAAAAACTGCAGTTCAGATCAACCTTTGTCAGGATTTTTTTTATAACATGAACTCTGTGACATGTAAATTGAAGAAAAACAACATTACACTTGCGCTAAAACTCGATATAGATATGACCCAGTAAAGTATTGGATTTGAATCATGCAAATTGAGAAATTATAAGCAGTAAAAGCCAGGTAAATTATAAAGCCTGATGGGGCTAGATGCATGTTCAATTCATTTCCAAATGACCCATCAAGAAAGAAAAAGGAAAAGGGATGGGAGAAAGGAACACCTACATTCCTATAAAGGGATGGGGGCTACAATATGCAAGCATGTACAAAGATATCAACTAAAATTTGCTCCAGTAGGACAATGCACCACTTATGACTACCTAAATAGTCCAGGTTCAAATCATCGGTCCCCATCTTTGTATGTATAAAATTAAAAATAAAAATAAAAAATTGCCCCGGAAGCGCACTGGCCAATACTCTGATGCTGCCTAATGCTGACTGCACAATTCTCTAACTGAAAGCTACTGATCAAGAGCACATTGAGGTCGTTGTATCAGCATGATGCAAGATATGATCAATTTTTATCTACATTATGACTAATCACAGTGCATTACAAAGAAGAAAGCAGGATACAAAGTATGATAATAGGTAATGAACTTGCTAACAAGTTCATTGTTTGAAATAGTCTGAGCTTTATTGTTTAAGCAGAATTGCCACTCAATTTGGGAACTTCATAAAAAATGAGGGGGCAACTAAAATCTGCACTCCACACCTTATAAAATCTCTCTCTCTCTCTCTCTCTCTCTCTCTCTCATCCACACAGAGCCAATATGTAGGACCATCCAAGCGCATATATACATGTAAAAAAGGCATAGGCACATGGCTTGTACCAGTGAGTTGGAGACAATGGTTTGGAACAATAGTTGATCCATTAATGCTTTATATATTCCAAGATAGGAATCATATGACAAAAAAGGATCAGAAAACTGAGTAATCGCCAATAAGTTAAACACAAAAATCTGTTTGAGGTTCCCCCCTGCTTCTGTTAACAGCACCAATCTAGTTGTTTTTCTTTCTAATTTATGATCCAACATGTTACTTGTCTTCATTAAAGGCCTAAATAGCTATTGGGTTACATTGTTTTAAACCAAATACCGAATGAACATAAATACTACTGAAACTATAAGCACAGGTCCAGCCATCCGCACTTGGAACAAAGATGCCAAGGGTCAAAAACATTTCTGGGAAATTATTAATTCTACTTCTGCAAAGGAGCACAGTAGAGTTTGACTTGAGATGTCGGATTCTAAGGTACCCTAGCCTTCCCAAAAACTGAAAATAGAAACAATGAAAGGAAGAAATAATAAGTAAATTATATGAATAGAAAAGATTTTTAAAAAAATATAAGGGTAAATTACGTTCGGACTCCCCTGAAGTTTGTTACCTAATTATTTAGACTCCCTCATATTTAACATATTACATCCAAACCCCTTGAGGTATGTGCACATCTAACGCATAAACCTTATCTGTTAGTCTCCGTTAAAATAATTATTCAAAATTAATGATATCATCATAACATATAAATTTAATTTACCAAACTACCCTTTATATGGGGCCCACTGTCAATTGGGTAATTGACCAACCAACTTTTCAAGTTCATGAATTTTTCGAAGTTTAGTTTTGAGTAATGATAAATGAACTTAAAAAATAAATTTAATAATTTTAACCATTGAATAGATAATGGGTCGTAATAAATGTTGGAATCCACAATAAAACCAATGGTTGAGATTATTAAGTCTATTTTTTAAGTCTATAGAATATTGCTCTTTAGTTTTTTCTATTTTAAAATATCCATTATTTAAAAATTTGTGTAAAACCACAATAAATCCATTAATCAAGCTAATCAATTTCATTATCCCATTAATTTAATTTAAGCAATAAAAACCCTATTTAATAAGCAACTAACACCATTGATTTTGTCAAATTAATTTGAAAATTAGCCCCAACAATTAACTGGTTATTCCATTAACTAATTAGTCTCATTAATTAAGTAATTGACCACTTAATTTACACCTTCAATTTTTGTTAACTAAATTTTATGTAATTAAACTAGTCTATCGGGTTATCAATTAATTATCCCATTGATTAAGCTAATTAACTCTAAAAATTAAAACCATAAATCAAGCAACTGACCCTTAATTAACACAATTAATTTTATTTTTGTATGTATAATTAAGCTCGTCTATTAAGCCAAACTATCCCATTAATCAAGCTAATTAACCCTAGAAATTAAACTCATAAATCAAGCAATTAACTCCTCAACTAGCACTGCCTCTACCGCCGCCGAAGCACCGCCTCTCACCATGGTAACAACCAGCAATCACCCACTACCACCACCGTCAACAACCAGAACGTTCCCTTCCACTACAACACCTCTCTCTCTCTCTCTCTCTCTCTCTCTCGCACACACACACTTATGCACACAGACCACCCAATTTTATACACACACACACACAAACACGAGTTACGGGTCAACAATTGTATGGCAAAGATCAAAGAAGCTCGTGACGAATCGTTGGTTTTAGTGCAACCGCACCATTGCAGCAGGGGGGTGGGGCATTTTGCAAAAGGGTGGGGCTAGGATATTGACTTCAAGATTGTGGTGGGTAGTATGGGATAATGGGTTTCAGGGATGCAACAAGTGGTTGTAGGGGTGGTGTTTGGTTGTTAACTGGTGGCAATCGGTGATGATGAAGTTCAGGCGATGGAGAGAAGGGAAAAGAGGGAAGGTATGTTGTGGGTTACAGGTCAGATCGGGTCAAGCTAGTCAAATCCGTTTGTGATATTTGGGTTTGGGTTTGGGTTCATTTGGTTTTTTTGTTTTTTGGGTAAGTAGATTTCATTTGGTTTTTATCTGAGGGTAATGTAGTCATTTTATAGCTCCTGCTAGGTCCGTTAGCTGAGAGGGGTGTCAGTGTAATTTGTTATACTTAAGAGGATTTAAGTGATTAAGTTATAAACTTCAGGGAATCGAATATAATTTATCCAAAACAGAAAGAGATTGATGGACAAAAATGTAGTTCTGTTGTCCTTGTATAAAAAAGCTCATATGTTTTACCTTACATACTTCCAAGACAGATGCCAGTTGCAAGAAACGGGAACTTCAAAAGAGACAAAAAGTAAGATAATCCATAGGAGCAACAAGAAGAACAAGGCAAAACAGACAGGAAAGTAGGGAAACAAAAAGATGAAGTGATCAGTGACAAAATGGCACTAAACCACTGTTGTCTAAACCGCAAATAATAATCATCTGGTAATATTAGTGCCAACTATCATGATTAACCTTTGGCCATGATTTTGTTCAAGATTTCTCATCATCAAATTTGATAAACCCAAGCATGTAAATGTTGTTTTTTATGTTAACAGCTCTTATATGGTATTGCATCACATATTTTTAACATCTTAACCAATCTTAAAAAGAAAAAACAAAGAGAGTTTAATTGATGGATGTAAATATACCGGATTGATGAACTGAAATCCCTTCTAATACAAATATAGATCAACTTAAACTTAGTAAGATCAATTCTAACAAACATATTGATCCTGTCCAAACATTTAGGTTCAATCTTGCAAACTAGTAAACAATTTTTAAAATAGATAGGTTTTGGAGAGACAAAACAATGAACAATAAACTTCACTAAAATTTTCGATGACTGCAATATGGTAAAATAGCGAGAAACAACTCACCCTCCCTTACAAAAAAATCTGAGTCATTCACTTTATGGGTATATTTATCTAAAGCATGGATCACACTAGTCCTTAGAATTAACAATACATTCCCCATCTTTCCCTGAGGCAGTTTGCTTCTTGCCCTGAAGAGTTAATTGCTACCGGCAAAATCAAAGGCTAACCTGGGCCTTCGGCATTCCAAAGCAATGATGATGCTTTCCAATAAGAAAATTACGTCCACAGTCAAGAAAGATCAATACAGTCTTAAGTTGTTTAAAGCCGTGCTCTGACCTCTGAATCATCCGACCAATAGTAATTCATGGTTTACTCACAATGCTGGTAGACAGAAGACTACTCCAATGGTTTAATACATATCACACATCTTTCCTTCCAAGCTGATTTGGCGTTGGCTAGTTTGTAAATCCTGGAACAATTCATGCATCTGCTCCATCAAGTTCCCACTGTGATGAAGTCAGTTTGACTGGGAAATTTTGCCTTTTAGCCCACCCTTGTCCAAGCTGAGGCTTTTGTGTGTTAGTAGGGCAAGCATTACACAGACTTCACATGTTTCTGACCTCAATCAAACTCTGAGCTGGTGCTTTTCTCAATCCTATTTCAGTCATCACATGTCTCGTGTTCTCTGCATCTTCCCACCTTCCAACTGCAGCATAAATTTTATGCATTAATACATAATTCCCCGTGTTCTCAGGCTCTAGCTCAAACAGCCACTTTGCAGCCACCTCTCCCAGGTCAACATTCTCATGTATGACGCAGGCACCCAGTAATGCACCCCAAACAGCATGAGTGGGTTCCAAAGGCATAGTTGTAATTAGCTCATAAGCTTCCTTGAGCCGACCTGCACGACCAAGAAGATCAACTATACAAGTGTAGTGATCAGGATGAGGACTTGCATGGTTACTTTTGAGCATGAATTTGAATAAACGCAGACCGTCATCCACCAGACCCGCATGGCTGCAAGCATGCAACACAGATGTAAAAGTAACTTCATTTGGTTCAACACCAGATTGAACCATCTGATTGAAAAGAGAAACAGAAGCCCCACCATGCCCGTGCATTCCATACCCAGCTATTAGCACACTCCACAGAATGATATCCTTATTGTTTACAGGAATTCCATTGAAGATCTTGTGAGCATATTCTAAACTTCCACACTTAGAGTATATATCAATCAAACCAGAAGCAACTTCAATTCTTGAATGAAACCCTGTTCTCGTTAGGTAACAATGAATATTGCTTGCCTGCTGAAAATCTGCAAGAAAGGAATATGCAGGAAGGAGACTCTTCAATGTTGCAACATTTGGATCTACTTCTTCCAATAGCATTTCTTTAAAAAGAATGACTGCTTCTCTTGCGAGCTTATTATGAATGCACCCAGAAAGAATTGCATTCCACGGGACAGTTCTCTTTTTTGACGTTTTGGTGAACACACGGAAGCTAAATAAAACAGAATCACATTTTGCGTACATGTCAATCAGAGCAGTTTCTACATTCACATCGGATTCAAGCTTTTGCCTCATTGCCCACCCGTGCAAACACTTGCCGAGCTTCAAATTGTGCAAATAGGCACATGCCCATAGAAGAGAAGCCAAAGTTATTGCATTAGGCCTCACACCTTCAAACTGCATCAGTGGGCAAAGCTCTAACGCTCTTCTTACATCACCATTCAAAATGTAACCATTGATCATTGTAGTCCATGTCACCACATCCCTCTTATCCATCTCATCGAAAACTTCTCGTGCCTCATCCATTCTACCACACTTCGCATACATATCCACTAATGCATTTCTGACCGATAATTTGTTCCCCAAGTCCTTCTCTTCAACGAATGCATGAACCTCTTTTCCTATCTCCAAGTCATTCAGAAACCCGCACACCGGCAACACCGAAACCACCGTAGCACAATCAGCCTCCACCCCATCATCCAGCATTTTCCTAAAAACCATTAAAGCCTCCTCAGCACTATCATTTCGAAAATACCCGCTTATCATTGTGTTCCAAGACACCACAGTTCGCTCTTGCATTGTTTGAAAAACTCTTGTAGCCCCTTCCTTATCGCCACAATTCATGTACATTGCCAGCAAAGAATTCCCAACAAACGTGTTCGCAACAAACCCATTAGTCACGGTCAATCCATGAACCATAACGCCCAATTCGAGCATCGATAATCCACCACACGCCCTAATTACAAATGGGTAAGTGTATTTATCGGGCTTCTGATTACCAGAAGTAAGCATCTCACTAAAGAGTTTGAGTGCACTATATGACAACCCATTTTCAGAGTACATTCTTATCATAGTGTTGTATGACAGTAAATTTCTATGAGGCAATTCATCGAACAGTTTACGGGCGTATGATATGTGTCCACATAGGATGTACGTAGACATGAGGGTAGAAAGAAGGTGGGTGGAGTCTTCAGAGAATAAAGGACTTGAGTTGATGATGTGGGCATGGAGTTGCTTGATTTCTCGGAGGGATTTGGTGGTGGCATAGCGGTGCAAGAGTGACTCACATTGTGCTGCGGTGGTGGTAGTGGTGGAGGTGGAGGTGGAGGTGGCGGTGGTAGTAAGGAGCAAGTTCCTGAGTTTGGATAAAGCCTGTGACGGCCCATTCATGAATACCGCAGTGAATTCAAAACTTCGTCCTAATCTCTTTCATCGTGAGGAGCTTCCATACAAATTGATCCTCAAATGATCTACTTCTTACTATTTGAAGATGTTTGGCAAAAATTGTTATGGCTAGGACATCGCAAGGAGCTGCCTTGTTATTTACTCCTAGTCATTGCTGTTGTATCAGAGTACTGGAGGCCCAACCAAAAGCTGGAATAGGGACAAATTATAAATTCATTATATTTTTATATTTTTAAGTTTAAATTTTAATAATTTTTAAAATTAGACAATGAGATAATTATTTTTCATGAATACTTTTATTCTAACATAAGTGATTTACTTTAATCGAATACAAAAATGATTAATTGATGTATACGTAAATTAGTTCGAACACCATTTATGGTTCAACAAAAAAAAATTAATAGAGACCCGGGTGGTGCACAAGGCATAGCACTTTTCTGATTGTTTTTCATATCTATTTGCTTTCTGTTTCTGAACTTCCCTAACCTTTTGATCAAGGATCAAAATTTCGTTTCGAAGTACCGTTTCGGTCAACTCAAAAATAGAAATGTTTCGGAAACATTTCGGAAACACAATGGAAACGCAGAAAAAATATGGAAACGCATAGAAACACAAATGCAATCCATTAATTTATAAAAATATGCTAAATAATTTATTAATTCAACATATTTATTAGGTTAACATCAATTTATACAAGAATAAATTTAAATTTGAGGGAAAAAAAGGCTTGACTTGAGGCGAAAGTCACTTAAATTAGTTTCAAATACTTAATTTTATGAAATAAACACATTTTTACATAATATTAAGGTCTTATAATACACATGAAATGCTAATGAGTACATACTTACATGGTTACATCCATTCCCCTGTGGAGTGTCGAGCAGGCTCATACATCGGTATAGGCTCTGGGTAGCTACTTAGAGAAACTCCATATGTGACATAAATATGATGACAATAGTTACTCCAAATCATATTATTACGGTAATATAATCCAATTAATAATACTATTTTATTATAATACTAATAATGAAGGGTATCAAATTAAATTAATGATACTTATGTATACTTAAAAATTAAATGTAATTGCAGTGGGTATTAAATGTAATTACAGTAGGTATTAAATATAATTACATTAGGGTATTAAATGTAATTGTTAATACTTATAACAAAAAAAAAAAAAAACAAAAAACTTGCACAGCAGTGAGGTATTAAATATAATTACAGTATGTATTAAATATAATTATAATGGGTATTAAATATAATTATAGTAGGGTATTAAGTGTAATTATTTATTCTTATAACAAAAAAATTATAAAAGACAGAAGAGCAGTGGGAATAAATGTAATTATAGTGGGATATTAAATATAATTATAGTGAGTATTAAATGTAATTACAGTGGGTATTAAATGTAATTATAATGGGGTATTAAATGTAATTATTCATAATGAACCGAATATATCACTGTTTTGTCGAAACGGTTCGAAACAATGCCGTTTCGACCGAAACGGTCCGAAACAATGCCGTTTCGACCGAAACGGTCCGAAACAGTACCGTTTCGACCGAAACACTGGAATTTTGTGATTCAACTACTATTTCGTTTCGGAGTGTTGAAATTCCGAAACGTTTCGGACGTGTCGACACGACATTTTGATCCTTGCTTTTGATACAAAGGGTGTGATATATACCAAAACTTTATGCATTTCTGAAGTTTGAGTCTCAACTGAAAGAATCAAAGTGAGTGCCGTGCTCTGCCGTTACTGATGCCTGAAGCTGCCACTTTTGGTGCTGCATTTGCCACCACCATTGATCTGTTTACTTTTGGCTGTGTGCTCATTGTTATCTTCCTCCATCTTGATTTGTTTCCCTTCTCTTTTTCTTTTTTATGTCAATAGAGACACATTTAGTTGACTTTATATGTATGTAAAAGCCTGTTATTTATCATCTTTGTAAATCATAATCCTTTTTCGGATTCGGCATGCAAAGCTTCTATAACTTGTATTTCAACCTATACTCTACTTTTAATACAGAGAAAATTGAGTGCAGAGAAAATTTAGGTTCTTTGTCTGGTACATTCTATTACTTATTTAGCATCAATAATCACACCGAAGGACTGATTTAAAAACATATGGAGGTGAAGTTTGTGGAATGACAAACAGAAATGGCTAAACAAGCCCAAAAGAGGAACAAATTGCAAAACATAACCCTTTTCTTATAGTTAAATGAAGATTCTAGAAAACTGCATAGGGGTTTCATCTTTCCCATACTAGTAAAGAATGTTTAGCTTTTGTTACCCTCCTATCCATTTGATCTTTTCTTTCAGATTATACACTACAATACATAACATATGAATAGTTGCTTGCAAATGAACTGGAGTGATTTTGTGCATATTTCACCACAGATAATTGATGATCAATCCAATTTAATCGATCAATTTTATACTTGTCATGTTACAAAGCTCAATGATATGCAGGATGGACAGTTACTGTTGGCAGAAATGCACCAGAAAATGAACACCATGAGGAGTCATCAGTCAGAAGGGAGCAAAATACAGTCAAGAGTCACTACAGTACCTCACACTCAAGTAAAGGAAAGGTTAAAACATACTTTGCATGAAGCAAATCTCTCATCAATCTCTCCCTTGGTAGCTCTTTGATCAATCCAAACTAACAAACAGAACAATTAATGGAACTTGGTAGCTCTTTGATCAAGTATGTGTTTGATCAATCCAAACATACTTTGCAGAGACCTTACTCAAGTTCTTGCCCCTTATTTTATTATTGTTATAGTCTTCCTCTTGTTCACTAGACCAGCTCTAGTTTCCATTTTCACTGGCAATGGAGCAGAGAATACGAAACCTCCATCTTCATCCCGATACGACCTAGGTTCATACTTCCCTCCAGTTTTCAGATCCTTTTCAGGGTCTCTTTCACCATCGCTTATTTGGGAGGACTCTCGATCTTCCGTGTGAGTTTCCTCATCATCCTCAGTCTCCTTGGAAGAAACCCTAAGTTCTTCAATTTCTCTCCCCAGATTGTTCACAAGCTCTCTCTCAGCATCAATCGAATCACTCCCATCACTGCTATTACAGTCCTCAAGTGAATCTGGCTCATTGCTGCTCCTATAAACCTTATAGACATTGCCATTCTCTGCAAAGCTCACACTTTTCTTCACCTTGGCTTCCACCCCATCATGCCTGTTCACTAAACCGCCTCTGCTATGTTGGAGAACCCCACAATTTCTATGTCTGAAAATACTAGGATTTTCAAGTTCCATATCTTTCTCATCCTCCTCCTCAGAAACCCTAGAAAACCCATGAATCTTTTCTACTTGGCCCCTAATTTTTTCGAGCAATACTCTCTTATCCCTTCCCAAATCCTTACAATCAACAGCGCCCCCCCTGTAATCGCCGTACAAAACCCTAGATTTGTTATCACTCCCGAGCCATCTGGCATCCTTCACTAATCTGCTGGAAAGTTCATTTCTTTTCACAGAAACCCCATCAATAAGCTCCACAAAACGAATCAACTCTCTCCTAATCTTTTTTTTACCATTTCTAATCATTGGATCACTACCCTGCAAACAAACTTTCATCAGATCTCCGACATACTGTGCACATGTACTAAATACACATAATATAGTGATTGTTACCTGAAAAGAGTCGAGTTTGAGAAGCAAGTCCATGGCTTTGCGAGAGAGAGCTTGAAAATCAAAGTGGGTATTGTCAGAAACTGATGATTTGAGAATATTGAGTGTTGCCTTGATGAAAGCGAGGCCTTTGAGCTGACGGAGTGTCCGTGATCTACGAACGAGGAAGGCCCTGAAGTGGGTTTGAATGGTACGGGCAGCGGCATCACGGAGGGAGCAAGAAGCAGCAACCGAATGGTGGCGGACTGAGGTTTCGAGGGCTGAGACGCGGCGGAGGAGAGAGGAGACAATGGGGTGTGGGTGTGTTTGTTCCGGTTCTTGTTCATGTTGTTGTTTGTGGTGGTACTCAAAGTTTTGCTGGTTGCGTTGGTGGGGTTGAGGTGGGTAATAGTTGGGTTGATAGTGTTGGTGGGGGTTATAGGGTGGATTGATGTAGGGAGAGTAGAGGTGGGATTGAGGAGAAGAATGGTGGAGGTGAGAGGATAGGGACTGGAGAAGTGGGTCTGGTGGTGGGGGGTGGTGGAGAGTGGTGCAACAGTAGTAGCAACAAGAGGGGTTGGTGGCGGTGGCGGTGGTGGGGCGGCTGATTTGGTGTTGGCAGTGGCCGTGGTGGGGAGAGGCCATTTGGGGGAATCTTTGCTTGATAGTGAAAGTAGGGTAGAAAAGTCTCGATAGGAGTTTTTTAGATCATTGATTGACCGAATTACCAGGACTAATATTTGACCTATTGTCCAGCATTTTTTAAAACTTTTTTTTGTACTTTATGTTGATTTTAATTTATATTTGATTAAAAACATAATTTAAACCCATACCTGTCAATCAAAAATATGCTTATGATTAACGGTAACTCGAGAGAGAAGTTACAAACTATGATAAGTCCATTATTTTTGGGGAAACTAGAAAATCTTATGACATCTCTTTAGCTAATAGCGGCGCGCTTATGCCGCTTACGATCATAACTTTAAGCAGAATCAAGACAAAGCCTGAGATATAAATTGGTCGGTCCTTCAACTCATATATCATTTAAATCATGACTTACATTTCGCCGAGACTCAAGACCAACACTAAAAACTTAAATATAATTCATTTAAATAACTGAAATCTTGTCTTACCAAATAGCCACGCTATTATACCCAGGAGACTTCGAACCTCTAACTTCTCACTAGGAAGTCAGGAGCTCTGGCCAACTAAGCTACCCCGAATTGGTTAGATAAATCCATTTATCATAGTTTGTAAATGAATATGGGTATATATATACCTATGAAGATTTGGCGACAGAGATGTTGAAGCTTCTGCTACTAGCTGTGAGGAAGATAACAAAGAAGGTTTTCACTCTCAGATCTATAATGGAAGGGACAAACGGGTATAATTAATAATTGAGTTGAATCTGTCAAATTTGTTGTTTAACGAGTTTAAAAGATTATTCAAATTCAGTTCATTTAAAACATGAATTGAGTTTGAGTTGAGTCCAATTCGAATTGAGTCCTGATAACTTGACTCAATTGTCAACCCTAAAACATAATGGATGGGTAATAAAAGAAACAGTTAGAGCATCTCCGACACTTACCTTTCTTTTGTACCATTTCTTAATAAAGGGTAAAAAAAACAATTAAATTTTTTTTATAATACTAGACTCCTACTCATATCAAATGAAGAGAAGTCATTTCTTAAACCCAAATCAAGTGAGACTTAAATCCTTACCATTTTTACTAATTGTGAGATTACACCATTCTTTAAATATCTAATTGTCATATTTATTCTATTTTAAATTTGGGGTTGTCTTCATTTAAAAAAGAATTTCTCTTTTTTAAATTTAGATTTATCCATTAGAGAGGTTTATACTAAATTAAATTTTTTACCTTTTTTTTTTATTCAAATTTAGGTCTCCAATCTCCATTAGAAATAGTCTTAGTAGCGATTCGGATCCTCGGCTGTTCACGAGGAACGATAGACTGTGTTCATTCAAGCCCAAAAACTGTTGAATACCTAAAACCACAGACGTTCATTCCTCAAAACGTCAAAGACCCAAAATGATGCCGAAGTCGAAGACCCAAAAAATTTTAACACTCCATCGCCTACACCTTCACCGATGCCGACGCCAACGCCTACTAGCTACTTCACCATCAATTTCAGATCAATAGAGGAAGAAAAAGAAGCAAAGGATGTGAATGAATATGTTCGAAGCTGCTCAAATCTGAAGAATTTAAGGCCTGGACAATTTAGGAAAAAAAAAATCTTTTCCACGAACGGGTAGGATTTGAGATCTAGGTCAAACTATCTTTCATTACTCTAAACGATCGAATTGTCAAACTCGGATTGTTTAACAAGCAATGATATTTATATTTAATTTATAGATCTAAATTAATTATTGTTATTCAATTGATAGTGTATGGTTAATTTGTTGATTATGATGAATTAGATCATTAAATTAAGTTTAAATTATATACGGGTCTAATTATGTGAAAAACTTGATGACAGACTTATTTCTTACAGAAAATGATATCAAACCTGATTTAACGAAAAAAAAAAGATATTACACCTAAACTCAAGCTAGTTATAATCAAATTATGTATATTAAATAATTCAATGATCTTGAATTATTACTCCTCACCAATGGGTTGTTTTTTGGTGTTGCGACAATTTTGGTTTTTTGTGGTGGTTTGATTATTGGGCTTGGATTACATCGGTATTTTCAAATTTTGAGTTTCGAATGTTAAAAGGTGTTGTTGCAATATTGAGTTTGCGCTTGAAAGGTGTTGTTATACTTATGGTTATGGGTTTTGCAATTTAAATTGTAATGTAAGATAGTTACGTGTATTATTAATGCAAGTTACTTACGCTTGATGTAGGTTACAATATTGCACCTTCGACTATGAGAGCTCTACTAAAGATAATACAAGAAAGCTATGCTATAATTGTGTCAAGAAGTTGGGATGCATATTTTTTAGGGAATGAACATCTACGATAACTGTGCCTGAAATTCCTAAGTGATCTTAATGAAATAAAAAGAGCTGAATAGGTTACAACCAAGTTACGGAGTGATGGACTTTACAGTCGAGTGCAACGACTTGAATTGTTACGATCCATATTCATGTTACTTTCTAGCTTTAATTTAGTGAAGTTGTTTGTGGTTATAATAATAAAATTATGTAACAGTTTATTTTCATTTATGGAAAGGATCTTTTCTTAATTATATAATGGTTTGTTTCATTTATGTAATGCTACTTATGTATTGGTGGGATAACTTTGGATAGTTGAATGATGGTGTTATTGCATTAAAATGAGATGTTTAATCTTTGTGTGCAATGAATAACTTAGCATTATGTTGGATGATGGTCGTATAACTTAACATTTATTGGATTGTTAGTGTAACGGTTGTTGGATGATGGTGGTATTGAAGGGGGATTCGGATCCTCTGTTGTTCACGAGGAATAGCAGACTGTGTTGTTCTATTAAAACGGCACCGTTTGGTGCCTTTTTAAAAAAAAACAAAAACCCAAACGATACCATTCTAATCAGACCCAAAAATTCAAGCCCCAAAATTGTCGAAGACCCAAAACAACAGTTGTTCATTCCCCAAAAATGTCAAAGACCCAAATTGATACTGAAGTCAAAGACCCAAAAAATTCTATCACTCCATCGCCTACGCCTTCACCGATGCCTACTAGCTACTTTACCATCAATTTCAAATCAACAGAGGAAGAAAGAGAAGCGAAGGATGTGGACGAATAAGTTTGAAGCTGCTAAAATTTGGACGATTTAGGGCCCGAACAAATTAGGGAAAAAAAAATTCTTCTCCACGGACAAGTAGGATTTGAGATATCGGTCAAGCTATCTTTCATTACTCTTTTTCATTAAGTAATATTCCACAATCTGCTGTCATGTCAGCATAAATGTCTTGCACAGTAAAAACCTTCATTTGGGATGACATCATACACATACATTCCTTAAAGTGCAATTGATGATTGTGATCATCCTCCCATTTAACCACGATAAATTTTTTAATTTCTCGATTGAGGGATATACACATATGAGCCGGACATTTGGTTCATATCTCGGCTCACAACTTTATTACTTTTCAATCCCTTTTATCCACATCCTTTTGCCTCTCTTTGCACAAAACATACTTTTCTATAAATCATGATATGATCTTTCTTATTTTAATTGTGATAGTTTTTTTCTAGCACTAAATCCGACCGAACCTCCATATTTGTTATAAAACTCATAAATATCTTCATTCGAGTCAAACTGCATATCAATACTTGGAGTGTTTACAATTTCATTAATCACAACGGACTTCATTATAGATGTCAGTACCTGCCAAAAAAAATGGTCTAACTAGTGTATCAACACTAAAACAAGCTTTAATGTATTTTTTTTTTTAACAATATGTTACATGGAGAAAGTGACGATGAGGTTCGAACCCACGATCAATATAAATTAACAACAAACCAAAACATCACAATTAAATCATATCATAAAATTTAATAATGATCAAAGAAATCAACAAAACAATCGAAGATTCAAAATTTTAAAATTTAAATTTAGATAAAAAAAAATTCAACTAATAAAAATGTAAATTTGTGGGTGTGTATGTATATTCATATATGTGTGTGTGTTTATACATATATTCATTTAAAAATATTCGAAATAGACATAAGAATACTCGACATAGGCGAAGAAGACGAATCACAAAACCAAACGTTACCTTTGTGAATAAACAAATTTGATTCATCTCTTGAAAAAGGTAAGGGTGAAATTTAATTTTTTTTTTTTTTTTTATTTCAGCTGTGCACCAAAAATGGCAAGATCAGTTGTTTGTTTTTAGTGTATGAGTGCGCCGCCAAGAGCGGTGCCAAACTTTTGGGACTGTTCAAGAAAAATAGAATGGAACGAGCGAAAAAAAAAATGCAAAACAGCGCCGTTTAGAGCGAAAAACAGGGTCCGCTGTTCCTAGGGAAAGCAGAGGAGACGGATCCGGCACAGTAGAGTTATTTTTTGAAAGGTTGGATTATGGTAGAATTATGGTAAAGTTGGGTGGCTGGGTTTAGTTTACAGAGTAAAACAGGTGGGGGAGTTAAAAGTGGTTGGGTCCTATTTCACACGTGGCATCAGTCACGTTTAGTTTAGCAATGAGATTTTTTTTTGATTCAAAACTGAAGCGTACAACAACGCACGTGAGAGTCCCGTGATTTAATCACTCTGAACGTGACTTTCTGCAAGAAGACGAGAACGTCCATCATTTTTTTTTTTGAACAAGGAGAACGGCCATCATTCACTGTCTCTCAGATAGATAGGCTCTATCTCTGTTCTCTAATAATTAATTCTTTCAGATAAGGGAGGGACTCCACAGAGAGTGAGAGTGAGAGTGAGAGTGAGAGAGAAGGGTTAACTATGGCGACATCAAGATTTTCTGCACCTTCGACTAGAGCAGAGTCCTTATCGCACTGCTCTTCAATCTCGAGGTGCCTGGATTTCAGCTCCAGAAACAGAAGCTCCAGCCTCGTATTGACTAGAACACGCCGTTTGCGGAGGGTTAAACTGTCTTCCTCGGTGAGGAACGTTTCCAGTGAACCAACGCAAAAGATACAGGATCCGATCACTGACGAAGGTGTGATCTTCTCTACATCAAAAACTCTCTGTGCTTTTGATCTTGTCTTCGCATGTTGTTACTTGTTTAATCGGTTATACGTCTGATTTATTTACTACGGATGTGATTCAATCAACGTTCACACTTGGAACAATAGAATCAAATGGCATGAAAGCCTTATTGGCGATTCATAGAAAATTGTTTGCAAATCATGTATAGAATTCAAGCATAGTGATATAAGTTTTTTCCTCTGGCAAATATTTTTCAGTAACCACTCATATCTTACCATGTTAGGATCAAGAAAGGATCGGTCCCACCATCTGATGAATCAGTGATAGATTAACCTTTGAGCGTGTTGAGGAAAAACAGTATAGAACTGGATTGTTTAAAAATCATAATAGTTTTTAGCATGGTCTTTCTTTGCTCAGTTTATGTACAAAATTAGAGCGATCAATTAGTTGGCTGGGCCAGATCCTTTTTGATGTTGACATGGAAATATGTGACTGCATAACCTGTATTTAATATACCAAGAGAAGCCAAAACAACTTCCAACAGTGTTCACAGGCATTGTTTGCTGCACCTGAACAGCCCACATATCTCTTGTTTGAAGTAGAAGTTGTTCTGTACTGGATTTTTCTTAGAATGGGTTTGGGGCTGTGATTGAAAGATCTCATCAGCACCATAAGACATAAATCTGAAGAAAGTAACATGAACTTTTGTTCTTAGGATTCAACTAATGAGCAAATGTCAGGTTCAAAGCTTTGATCATAAGAACTGTGACTAAGCAGGAGATGATTTCTTAAATTTCTTATTGGTGAATGCAATCCATCTGAAATGAATGTTTACCACATGAATTATTTTGGAAGAATTTATAATTTTATACCATTTTACCACACTGATGCTTGCATGTATCAGCTTTTATTAGTCCGATTCAATTGATGCAAATCAAATGTAAGACTCATTAAACGTCTAGAAATATATATAAGTGGCACATTTTGTGTATATTTTATCAAACTTTTCCGAATGTAATAAATGGTTTTCTTTGTGTGATGTTTTAGGAGTTCCAGGTGATCTAAGTTCTTTCACACCGGATGCTGCATCAATTGCCTCAAGTATTAAATACCATGCAGAATTCACACCATTATTTTCTCCCGAGCGGTTTGAGCTCCCTAAGGCTTTCTTTGCTACGGCACAAAGTGTTCGTGATGCACTCATCATTAATTGGAATGCTACATACGATTTCTATGAAAAGATGAATGCAAAACAGGCATACTATTTGTCAATGGAATTTCTACAGGTTTGTGATGATTCTCTCTCTTGGCCCATTGAATGCAATACTTTAGGAACCCATTACTGTTGCATTATGATCTGCTTTTCCATTATTATTGACTCATGATTGCACTTTGCTTTCAATCATGCCTTTTTTCCCTCTGAAAATATTCATTTTTTGGATGAACGATTACTGTTGCATAATGATCTTCTTTTGTAGGGCAGAGCATTGTTAAATGCCATTGGTAATTTAGAGCTAACTGGTGCCTATGGTGAGGCTTTGAGCAAGCTGGGACACAATTTAGAGACTGTAGCTTGGCAGGTCAGATTGTCCTGCGAAATTTCTCTTGCCCAGAATTGCTTGTGTAATATTTTATTTACTGTTGCTCTTGGGTAGTGCTGAACTCTTGGGCTGACTCGTTACAGGAGCCAGATGCTGCTCTGGGAAACGGGGGTCTTGGACGACTTGCTTCCTGTTTTCTAGACTCTTTGGCAACACTAAATTATCCAGCGTGGGGTTATGGACTTAGATACAAATATGGTCTCTTTAAACAGCGAATTACAAAAGACGGCCAGGAGGAGGTTGCTGAAAATTGGCTTGAGGTATGTTTCTCTGTGTTTACAAAAGATTGGCTTGAGGGGCATTGTCTCTTTTAATTATGTTCAGAGCTAAGTTATTTTGAGGTTCTTCATGAATCATGATGTAAACCTTCTATGTCCTTTGGTTAATTTCAGTTTCTCCTTGTAGATGGGAAATCCTTGGGAAATTGCTAGAAATGATGTCTCGTATCCTGTGAAATTTTATGGCAAAGTTGTTATGGGGTCAGATGGAAAGAGGCACTGGATTGGCGGAGAAGATATAGAGGCTTCTGCATATGATGTCCCTATACCAGGATATAAAACTAGAACCACAATCAACCTTCGACTGTGGTCCACTAAAGTTCCATCAAAAGATTTTGATTTGTACGCTTTCAATGATGGAGAGCACACTAAAGCCTGTGAAGCCCAAGTAAATGCTGAAAAGGTTTGGCTGCATTCAATATTATATGCATCTTTCTCACCAGTCTTGGCAATTTTCTGAAAACTCCTTGTAAATGCAACTGCTAGGGCATAATTTGTGGCTTAATTGTGGAGGAATACTAAAATAAGAAATTTGAAGTTACCTTTGGAGCATGTCAATTGTTATCCATCATCTTATTTCCCTTGAATCATTCTGGCTGTAATTTACTATTGACCAGGTTTTGGGGGTCTGTATGTGCGGAGATACTGATAGATAGAAGCTGGTTCTTTGTGGATATTCATTTGATTAGTGGCACTCCATGTATCAAAATAGTAAAATGAAGTAAAGAATGAAAATGGGCATTATGTACAAGGCAGCAGAAATCACCTAATGTTAATATGTTTGTCTAAAATTTGATATTTCTCGCTATTTGCCATTCCTGTTTTCACTTTTTGCCAGATGTTATGCAATATCCCCAGTACTCTACGAAAACAAGAATGACCTATATAACGTTGTACTCTGTCATTAGATTTGCTATATATTATACCCTGGTGATGAATCAGTGGAGGGGAAGATTCTTCGTTTGAAGCAACAATATACCTTATGCTCAGCTTCTCTCCAAGATATTATTGCACGATTTGAGAGGAGGTCTGGTGGGCATGTGGAATGGGAAGAGTTTCCTGAAAAAGTTGCAGTGCAAATGAATGATACCCATCCAACATTGTGTATCCCTGAGCTGATGAGGATATTTATAGATTTGAAGGGCATGAGTTGGAAGGAAGCTTGGAATATTACCCAAAGGTACTTCTTACCAGCACAATTTTTTTGCTATGTTTTGATGTTGTTATTTAGGTATGTTTATTTTTGGTGGAACATATATATGTGGGTAGTGTCATCTTAATGATCTACATATGCAATGCACTGAATTAATTTAATCTTTGTCTAGTCATGGACACTGGATTACATTAGGAGGAATACAGTATTCTTTTTCTCATGTATATTCCTACTACCATAATCTTCAGTGAGTTAAATTTTGTGTCCCACTTCTCTATTGTTTCTGCCCCATTTGGGAAAAGGCTATTTGCAGCTGAACATTGACTTTCATTTTCTGAGGTTTTTTTTCATATACTCTAGTTGGTCTGCCTAACAGCCCTCATTGATGCATCCGTATCAAATCTTGAAAAAAAACTGTGGCACAAGTTACCAAGCTATCAGATGTAAAAAAGCTTGTATGTCCTTAAGGTTTAGTAACTTAACACTCACCTCCTGGTGCACATTCGACAGAACTGTGGCATACACAAATCACACTGTTTTGCCCGAGGCATTGGAGAAGTGGAGTTTAGAACTTATGCAGAAACTGCTTCCTCGACATGTTGAGATTATAGAGATGATTGATGACGAGGTAATGCGAAAAATTAACAAATTACCAAACCTTTTCTCTGCTGTTAAATTTTCATTTGCACACTAATTTTGCAATCCACTATATTTGCAGCTGATTCATAACATAGTATCCAAGTTTGGAACATCAGATCTTCACTTGTTAGAGAAGAAATTGAATGCAATGAGAATCCTAGAAAACTGTGATCTGCCTGCCTCTGTTGGTGATGTATTTGTTAAAGCAAAAGAAACCCCCGTTGTTGATCCTAGTAAAGATCTTGAAGTTACTCACGAAGTTGAACCTGCTGATGAAGATGATGAAGTTGAAGTAGAAGATAATGAAGTTGAAGTAGAAGATGATGATGTTGAAGTAGAAGAGATGCCAAAGAAAAAAAAGTTGGATCCGGAACCAGTTCCTATACCCCCGAAGATGGTCCGTATGGCTAATCTTTGTGTTGTGGGTGGTCATGCAGTAAATGGAGTTGCTGAGATTCACAGCGAAATAGTGAAGCAGGAAGTTTTCAATGACTTTTATCAGGTAAACCTTTCCAGATTGATTATTTTTCTCTCAAATAATATTCCTTAATATGTGCATCCTATGATGTCAACATAATCAACATACTTTGGATCATGTCTCAGTATAGTGGAAAGTGCTAATATGTTGGATTTTACACAACAACTTTTGCAGCTCTGGCCTGGGAAATTTCAAAATAAAACAAATGGGGTGACACCAAGAAGATGGATCCGTTTCTGCAATCCAGATCTTAGCAACATCTTAACTAAGTGGACTGGTGCAGAAGACTGGGTCCTCAGCACTCAGAAATTGGCAGAGTTGCGGAAGGTAATTCCTGGCATTATCCATGTCCACATTCTTTCTCTAGAAGTCAATGCTATGTGGACTGTGAAGGTTCACTTTTCCCATTGACATAGAGTATATTTTATTTTTATAATGTTAAGCTCTGGGGTGGGGGTGGTTTTATTTTTTATCTAACCTGGATACTGACTGCTTCGATCTATTAAAATAGGATAGATGTAATGGGATAATTGTACGCTGCTAAGGTGAGCTATCCTCCCTTTGTTGTCTTGCTCAAATTTAGAAGACAACCAGGGCCAGGAAGAACCACAATTCTCAGTAACTAATAATGTTTGGTTGAAATGTGGGTGCCTCGTTAGAATGCATTACCAAATCATGCTGGAAGAAGAGGATAAGTGGATCTCTGTCTAACAGTCTTTGCTGAATTTGTTAGCATTGGCTTTTAAATGGCTAGTGTAGTTACAAGTAAACTCATGAGTTTCTATCCTGAAGCTCTGTATACTTTCGGTTTTGGTGCTAGGAAGTGGGATCCTTAGTCTTCGCTGCAAATGGTGCATATGGTGATCAAAAGGTCATTCTTTGTATTGCATCATTGACCGTTAACCAATTTAACTAACCCAACAAATCATGAGTCTTTTGTTGTTTTATGGTCTATAAATGTACGGATCATCTGGAGATAAGAGTGGTCAGATTTCTAGTCACTTTACCGGTGCAATCCTTGAATATAGCCAGACTTCAGCAGATAAAAGTCAAATGGATGGGTGTATCATAGGAGTCCATTTTTCTCATTGACGTCAGTGTAAATTCCCATTTTGTCTGAAGTTAATGTTGAGTTTCTCTCTCTATGCTCTAATTAGTAAGTTAATGTGTATAGATGGATTAAAATCCACATAACAAAAGATATTCCAAGTGGCTAATGAATTGATCAACTTAGTATATGAACAACCAAAGATTACCATAGCCATGAAGCTCGCTAAAAATTTTCCATAACCGTTTACAATTCACCTTTTTTGCTTTGTCTCTAGGACTAGAAATTACAATGCACAAGAGAAAATTATAGTCTGGTAATGAGCTAAAGCCCAAAGAGGACCTTCCTAAATTAGTTAGGACTTGCCTTGGTTATAAAAATGTGGCCTATGTGCACACTAACAGAAGCTTATGTATGATTGCCTGATCAATATCAGTTTAATATATCTCATGCAGGGTAAGCCCAATGATCAGATCTTTGGGGTAAACCCTTGAAGGGTTGGCATGGATGAATTCATTGCCGAAGGAATATGTCTGATATTTTGCTTTATTCTGAATCTTCAGCAGTTGTTTAGAACTTGTGGCATGAAACCTTCTTGCTCCTTTTTCGTATAGCTATATCTTTGATATTAAACAATTCAGTTACATTATGTATTACAACCCGAGAGAGATGTGCTAATTAGAGTGATGAAACTCATCCACAGTTTGCCGATAATGAAGATCTCCAAATTGAGTGGAGGGCAGCAAAAAGGAGCAATAAGCTTAAGGTCGTAACATACCTAAAACAAAAAACAGGGTACTCTGTCAGCCCTGATGCAATGTTTGATGTCCAGGTTATTTTTTTTCTTCCTTTAAAACTCCTCTCTTGTGATTTTGTCTCATTACAGTGCTTTGGTATAAATATGTATCTTGAGGATCCGGCTTTGAAGATTCTCCATTTTTCATTTATCCGTGCCTGTACTCAATTTTCTTCCTTTTCTTTTTATCAATTGCGCAACTAACTGTGCTGCCCTGTTTTCAGGTGAAGCGTATCCATGAATACAAGAGGCAACTGTTAAATATCTTGGGAATTGTTTATCGGTACAAGAAGATGAAAGAAATGGATGCAGGAGAGAGGATAGCAAAGTTTGTTCCTCGTGTTTGTATATTTGGGGGAAAAGCATTTGCTACGTATGTGCAAGCCAAGAGGATTGTGAAACTCATCACAGATGTTGGGGCTACAATAAATCATGATCCTGAAATAGGTGACTTATTGAAGGTATGATTTTGTAGCATAAGGGCAGTAAATGATCTCACAAAGTACTCTCATCCTTTGTTACCCTAAATGGTTGGCTCTAAGTGTAATAGCAAAAGATTGTGGAGAGTGTTATAATCTGTGAGATTTGTTTCCTTTTTTAGGTTGTATTTGTTCCTGATTACAATGTCAGCGTCGCGGAATTGCTAATACCTGCTAGTGAGCTTTCGCAGCATATCAGGTATCAAACCTCACTCTCAAAGTATATTATTCTTCCTCCGGCCCCATTTCCCCTTTTTTTCTTTTTTTTTGTTTTAAGTTCTGCCACAATGTACATTTTTACTGAAATTATTGACACACGCTGGGATGTTTTGCCTCACTTCAATGAATATTTGGTCCTAGTTTTGAGGGCCATGCTTTGCTAGTGTGGGGTAGAAGTAGCAATTTAGTTCAAACAGAAATATACGTGAACTGCACTGGGAATTGTTTATATTTCTGTGATATTACATTTCATGTGGTGTATGTACATGAAGTGGGGTGGCGACATCTCTCTCTCTCTCTCACACACACACACACGATAGTTTGTCTCTCTCTCTCGCACACACGATAGTTTGGGCTCCCCCCTTTCAGCCTTTTTAAGATTTTTCGCAAGCTAAATGTAAATGTTCATGCCGGCCTTGTGGGGACTCTGTTCAAATTTCATCCTTTGTGGCTTATTGGACTCAGGCTGGGACTTCTGAGCTGAATGCAGATGCACTGAGCTCAAAATGGGGGGTTTGCTTGTTGGGGAATGTTCTGGATGACCTTGAACCTGTTAATTTTCCGGCTATTAGAATTTCTTGGATTCTTATTAATGTAAATGCATGGGTTATGGCCACTTTTCCTTGAGCTTCATGCCTTGAAATTGATTGAATAAGGTCACAAGGAGGTACTACGATTAATTAACACGCCAAAAAATTCGTTATTGAAAGCCTTAGGATGGAATTCCACTATTGTTATTAATCCAAGAATGCAAAAGATATATATATATATATATATATATATATATATATATATATAAGTTAGAATACTTGTTAGACTAATGTAACACTCAATGCAAATAGACCGTAGATAATTTGAACTGAACAAGTTTACATAAAGAATTTTTTTTTACGCAACTCAGGTTGCTTCAGAAAGCCAGGCTACTTGGACTGCTTCATGGTTTAAGTGATTAAACAACCAGTACAGTCCCCTGTGGAAGTCTGGAACGTAATTCTGGTTATGCAGTTCCTCTAGCCCATATTGTGTTGCTTTTAGGCTGATATTGGAGCTGTGCCAGTCATTTAAATGTATTCTGGTCTAGTTGGGTGTGCCAAATGTAACCATAATATCCCACAGCAAAGTAGAAACCATTTGTAGCAGGAAGAAATAAATAGCTAGCAACGAGTGGTCACTGAGGAAAGACGGGTCTCTTGCCTTTTCACCTTGGAATACTTGCGCACAGCCAATTGGAACTGGAAACGGTTGTTTGAAAACGCACTGATTGCTTGATCAGTTAGAAATTATGTACACCACTGCATACATGAAACATGTATACCCATAAAAATCTTAAAAGACTTAATTTCTTCACTCACCAAAATAATTTTGGTTGGTAGTTTTAAAGGATACACGGCGGGACTAAATCCCAATGGGGGCTATGGGGATATTTGACTCTCTCTCTCTCTCTGTGTGCAGTACTGCTGGGATGGAGGCAAGTGGGACCAGCAACATGAAGTTTGCAATGAATGGTTGCATCTTGATTGGGACCTTAGATGGGGCAAATGTTGAAATAAGGCAAGAGGTTGGAGAAGACAACTTTTTCCTTTTTGGTGCTCAAGCACATGAGATTGCTGGGCTTCGAAAAGAGAGAGCCGAGGGCAAGGTATGCCTAGTTTATCATTGTCACAATTTCTGTATGCTGTTTTAGGATTGAACCTATCGTCAGAGAATAAAGGTTGGGCAGGTGAGGCATAAAATTCAGTTTCTAAAAATAGGACAATATAACATCGTCCTCCTTCTGATATATATTTAGTGTACACCCGACATTTGATCTCTTTTTTACATCTGGCAGTTATTTACCAAAGAAAAAAAAAACAAATCTTGCAGTTTGTACCAGATTCTTGTTTTGAAGAAGCCAAGGAATTTGTCAGGAGTGGTGCTTTTGGGTCTTATAACTATGATGAACTAATGAAATCCTTGGAAGGAATTGAAGGTTTTGGCCGAGCAGACTATTTCCTAGTGGGCAAGGACTTCCCAAGTTACATAGAGTGCCAAGAGATGGTCGATGAGGCTTATCGAGACCAAAGGGTGAGTGATTTAATAAGCATATGGTGTTTCACTTGGTTCTTATAAATTGTCAAATTTAGTTGCCTTTTTACTGTCGAAACACAAATTCATTTAACAAGATAAGCCGTTAGGGAGAGGAGGAATGACTCGAGTATATAAATATTTCAATACTCTCCCTCACATGCGGCCTAGACATCGAGACTTGACCTACCACCTTGTGGAATCCTGTTTTTGTGCTATTTGAACCGATACCTTATCTGAATAGTTCAGCTATTTTAGAGAGTGGGAGAGAGAGAGATAGAGAATAACCAGACCAATTTGGTTTGTCACAAAAACAGTATTCGAAAATTATTTTTAAAAAGAATTTTAGAAAATTGTGTTCTAGTATTTTTTGTGTCACCGAATTTATTTGGTTATATGATTTCAAAAATAGTTCTATAGAATAAAAATAGTAAAATTTGTTTGGATAGTAACCTAAAAAATATTGGTGATAGAAATGTGGTGGTGGTGCTGATGGTGGTGGTATTTTCTAAATTAGGAAAGGATGTTTCAAAAAAAAACAAAATTGTTTTAATTTGTTCTTGAAATTTATCTACTTTTTATTTTCAATTTTTAAAAAATAAAAACAAAAAACAGCTAACAGCTTTTCTTCTAAAAACTGTTTTTAAACAANCAAAAAAATAATTTCTAAAATGCAAACTCAACACAGTTGTATTTGACAACTTTTTAAACAAAATTTATTCCTTGTGTCTGCTTGTCAACAAATTTTCTCACACGCAGTCATAAGCACGTTGAATAATAACTCGTTTCTAGTTTATATCAGCCTAATACGTGCACTTGGTGTTTGGCAGAGATGGACAAAGATGTCGATCTTGAACACTGCAGGCTCTTACAAGTTCAGCAGTGACAGAACAATTCACGAGTATGCCCGAGACATATGGAACATTGAACCCGTTGAGTTGCCATAGAGAAGACTGAATCAACTCAAGGCAGCCACCCAACTGGGGATGGCAATGGACTAAGTAAAAATGGTTATTTGTCCAAATCTGTCTTGTTTAGATCGGAGATGGATCATATGTATTAGACGGTGGACGTATACGAAAATGTCCATATGGATTGACACTTACTCCTACCTCGCTTTACCCGTTATTAGTATTATTATTATATGTTGTTAAGAATATAAATCTATATATTATTGAATGGTTTTTTCTTTTGAAAATTATTTTATTTTTTGACTTTTTTTTTCATGTTTTTAGCTTGTAAAAGTGTAAATTTTTGTGTTTTTGTATTTTTTTATGTTGGATTATGATATGTTACATTATGTTGTGTTGTATGATATTGTGTTAGATTTATATGAGAGACAATGTTTTAATTATATTATGTTGAATTATATTATAAATAACAAATTTTTAATTATGCTATGATATTCTATAA